CATTGGTATTTCAACTAGGACTGCATTAACTGTGAAGTATGTGGTTTTATAGAAACATTGTTTTTAGTATTGAGGCAGCTAGGTGGAATAATTCACAGAGTGCTGGACTTGGAGTTAGGAAGACTGGAATTCAAATTTTGTCTCAAACACTTACTAGCTGTGTGTTCCTTGGGCAAGTCACTTAACTTGTGTCTCCCTGTTTCCTCCTATGTAAATTGGTCATAATAATAGCACACTTCCATGACCGCTGTGAGGATCGAATAAGATAATATGAGCAAAACACTTTTCAGACCTTAAAATGATATGTAAATGCTAGCCATCCCATTATCAAAGGTACTTTGAAGCATAATGAAATTAATTGATACTCAGAAGTAAAAGCTGTAGAATTTCAGACTGGTCTGCTAGACTAATCTATAACACAAACAAATCCTGGTGTAAGATAGCCATTTAGATCCCATTCAGCCTTTGCCTGAACACATCAGTTAATGGAAATTTAGCTGTCCTCTGAGGTAGTTCATTTCACTTTTAGATAGCTCTCTTTTAGGAAGTTAGATTTGATGCAAAGAGTAACTTTGTATTACATAACTTATGGCTCCTTTGGAATTCTATTTATTGGGACATTGTGGGTCTGAGGGAAGGAGTTGAGAAATAATAATACCAAAATAGTATAGTAAGGAAAAGAAAAAGGACCTTGCAACCCCGAAGGCAGAAATCCTGAAAGAAATTTGCAGTAACTAGGTCAAAACTCTATTTATAATGAAAAAATGTGAATAAACCATAAGGAAGAATACAATTTAATTACTTTTTAAAAATGTATATTGTTTCATAAAATAGTTTTAACACTTTAACTAGACTGAGGATAATAAGAGATTTTCATTTCCATAAAGAAAAAAATGTTAGAAGACAAATTACATTCAATACTTATATTAACAATAAAATGTGAATGATATCAATTTCCCATTAAAATAAAAAGCTACAGAACAGATACAGAGCTAAAACCTATTCATGTGTTGATTACAAGCCTATTTAATACAAAATGTAATGTATGTAGCTGAATAAAAATTTAAAAAATTAATCTAAAATATCTTATGCAACTGAAAGTTTAAAAAAAAGTAGCAGTAATTATATCTACTAAAATGGAATAGAAGCCAGAAGGTATTGAAAGAAACATTACATTGAAAATGGAAATTAAAATAATAGTCAAATGAAACAAATATCTTATTTTTTATGTTTGATTTCTTGAAATTAATCATTGTTTAATAAATTACTCTTTTTAAAGTTCCTGTTCTTTTTAAAATTTTGTGAATGTTATTGCAATTTAATCTTAAATTTATTGCATTATGTTATGAGAAAACATTTTTATCCAACATGATTTCATCAGTGCAGGAAACTTCCTATGTTTAAAATCCTTCCGCAGATGCAGGTATGCAACTCATTTGAAATTTATAGTCATAGAGAGAACTGCCTCAGAGTACTGAGAGATCAATTTAATTTAATTCAATTTAGCAAGAATTTATCAATAATCACTTACCCTGTTTCCAGAACTTTTCTAGACACTGAGAATGAAAAGATGTAAAAAAAAAAAAAACCAGTCCACGTCCTCAAGCTTTTCCTCAGGTGAAAACACTGTGCAAACATAATTTGATATCGAACACATGCAAAAGAAATATGAAGTAATTTTGTGGGGAAGCACTTAAAACCTGGGCAGATCAGAAAAAGGCTCCTGTGGAAGGTGGTGCTTAAGTCCTAAAGGAAGCTAGAGCTACCAAGGACAGAATGTGAAGGAGAACGTGCAAGGGGACGGGGCACATTTTCTGGAAACATATGGGTGCCAAAGACGCAATATCATGTGCAAGAAATATCACGCACGAGAAATTGGTAAATTTTGCTAGAATACAGAGATTCTGAGGAGTAATATGAGATGTAAGTGTGATACATTCATATACACACATGCATACATATCCTATATAGGCAGTCTATATGTGTGTGTGTACATCTATATGTATGTATACACACATACACACATATATATGTAGTTTTGGTCTATCATATGTATACACACACAAATGGGGCAGCTAAGTGACTCAGTGGATAGGGGGCCAGGCTTGCATCCAGGAAAACTGATTTTCCTGAGTTCAAACTTGGCCTCAGACACTTGCCGTTGTGTGACCTTGGGCAAATCACTTTACCCTATTTGCCTCAGTTTCCTCATCTGTAAAATGAATTGGTGAAGGAAATGACAAACCACTCCAGTATCTTTGCCAAGAAAACCCCCAAAGGTTTGTCAACTGGGTGAAGCCCACCTCTCAAAATGCAGAAGAGTCCAAGCTGAGTTGAAAGTAGAAAAGTTTCATTAAGAGGCATCTCAGTACAAAGTACAAAGGAGCCCACAGCCTGGGACAGGCAGGAGCAATTTGTGTTTGAAAACCAAAGAGGGTAGGTTCAGGGAGGGTTAGGGTCTTTCCTAGGAATGGATGGGACACAGAGGCAGGATGTTTTCCAGGAACAGTGGACTGCAAGGCTGGTTTAGGCCAGTTGGGGCGCACAGTTCAGCAAGGTCAACCAGCTAACACCAGCAAAGGCATCTGGGAGTGAGCAAGATTTTTGGCTCACTGCAGGTCCCGATTGGCTCCTTTTGGCAAACAGGCTCTGTGTCCGGTGCACCTGCCTTGTAAGGTAACTCATAGAAAACAGACATATTAATCTTGGGGGTACTTTCACAGGGCTCATGAAGAATCAGATACAAATTAAAACAGCTAAACAACAACATATATGCACACATGTGTATGTGTGTGTTTGTATTTGTGTGTGTACATAATTGTAATCACCATCACCTCCTGGAGACTCATGCCTAGCTAGGTTTTCATGATACTGCACTCTCCTGATTCTCCTCCTATTTGTCTAACTGCTCCTTCTCAGTTGTTTTTGCTGGGGTTGCACCCAGGTCATGCCCATGAACTGTGGATGTTTCTTCAAGGTTCTGTTCTCTTTTCACTATATACCATCTCACTTGCTGATCTCATTAGCACATGTGGGCTCAATGATCATTTCTATGTAAATGGTTCCAGCATCTATATGTCCAGCCCTAATCTCTCTCCTGAGCTCCAGAGTTGGTATAATAACTGTCTCCTGGACTTCTGTAATTGGATATCCTGAGAACATCTCTAACTCAACATGTCTGGAATGGAACTCCTACATCCTCAAACACTTCTTTCCTTCTAAACTTCCCCATTACTATTGAAGGTGCTATCATCTTCCCAGTCATCCAGTCCTTCAACCATGGTGTCATCATTGACTCTTCACTGTCACTCACCTCATGTATCCAATCTGTTTCTAAGTCTTGTCATTTTTACCTTTGCAACATTTCCCATCTACATCCCCTTCTCCCCACTCCTATAGCCACAATCCTAATTCAGGCCCTCATTACCTCTATCTGGACTACTGCAATAGCCTTCCAACTGGTCCCTCTGCCTCATATCTGTCAACACTCTAACCCATCCCCTACTCAACTGTCAATGGGATTTTCCTAGAGTGTGGGTATGTCTGTGTCACTTCCTTCTCAATGAACCCCCAAGCACATAAGGATCAAATATAAAGTACTTAATGTTGGGCATGTCCAATTCTTCATAACCAATCTCTGTACACCTTACCTTCTCCTTTTCATACCCCACCACCCCATACACTCTCCAGTCCATCCATACTAGACTCCTTGCGGTTCCTGGAACATGGCATGATGCTTTCCATTTCTTTACTCTTTCACTGGCTGTCCCTCATTTCTGGAATACTCTGCCCCCTCCTTTCAATTTCTTAGTTCCCCTGGCTTCCTTCAAGACCCAATTTAAATCCCACCTTTCCCAGGAAGCCTTTCCTGGTTCCTCCAGCTACTAAAGGCTTTACTTTTGACATGGCCCTCTTATGCCACACACACACACACACACACACACACACACACACACTTTGTATCCTCTTTCTACCTACACGTTTAGATGTTCTCTTTTCCATTAGAATGTACATTCATTGAGAGCAGGGACCTTTTTGTTTTTACTTGTATCTCTAGAGCTTAGCAAAATTCATGGCACACTGTAAGCATTTAATAAATACTTGCTGAGTGACTGATATTCCCAAATGCCACCAGGATGGTTATACCTAGGCAAAGACTGTTTGAATGGGGATATCTTTACATAATTTTGAAAGTGTGGTGGAAGAGAGGATATCAGTGACTTCTAAATTTAAGGGCTTAAAATTTGGAGGAATGATTCCAGACTTAGTGTAGAAGACCTGTGCCGTCCAGTCCATGGTTCAGTCAACTTCAGTGATATGGAGGCTATGAGTCTGGGAAGCTGTCAGCATAACTGGCATACTTTTAATTTTTAACTTTGATGTTTCTGAGGATTTCCAGTATCTGCCAATTCCAGAATGCCACTACTTTGCCTGACGCAATATTTGTCACCCTCAGAGTCACAGCATGGACTTTGCTTTCAGAAGGACACATGGGTTTCACAGTCCATGGAGGCTCTAGGACCTTCCTTTCCTATAGGTCTTTCCTGGTAATTGAAAAGGAGATACCAACAAGTACTTGTGTTTTTTCTTGGTTACAGGAACACAGGTGTAGTGCTTCCAGGCAGGAATGATGCTCACTGAACAAGGTCTGCCTCCCTGGAGGTAGGAGGAGGACCTAGAGGATGAAGGGAGGGGGAGCCCAGGCCCCTGTTCATCCTGAATATGGACCCTAATGGTGATAATTACGTGTCACAGAAACTTTATAAGCACTGCCTTTTAATCCAACACTGACTTTGTTCTGGACAAGGGCTGGACTCATGTTGTATTGTGTTATCTCAGGTATCAGAGGCAAAGCAGAAACTGGAAATCATTTAAGGGAGGAGACCTTTGTGGGAGAGCTTTCTCATTGGAATGTAACTGCAATTACTCTCACCCTGAACATGGTTTGTCAGCTCCATATAGACTGAGAGCTTTGGGGGTGTTCAAGACATCTTGTCTGGATGCTCACTCCAATTTTCCTGTTACTAATCATTGAGCTGCCCTTTTCTGTGTCGAGGACAGAAAAGTTCCTCTCCTTCCCACAGAGCAGTCCTCATGTCTCCCAAGATGGGGACCTGATCATTGGGGGATTTTTCTCCCTATATTCTCTTGAAGTAAGCAGTTTCACAGGATCTGAACATCACAAGGCCTGCCATACTTATCAGTAAGTATGTCCATGGCATCATTTCTGAAAGAATGGGCTTGCTCCTTGATGATTGTGAAAGGGACCAATTGGAAAGGCAGCCAAGTATCCCCACGAACTCCAAACCAGCCCCTAGGTTGCCCTTAAATGGAAATAAAAGAAAATCATACCTTTTTCTACTCTGGGGTATAGGAAAGAGGTAGCAAAATGCACTGGATGACCATATTGATAATAAATCCATATTGTCCCTGCCATCCTGTGTCCTACTAAGGCTGTCCCAAAGATGAATTGACATTGTACTTTAGTTCAATTACAAAAAGCAATTATTTTATCTACTTGTGCAATATTCTATAGAACAATGGATATAAGGGTATAATTGCAAGATAGCAACTTGTCCCAGTGCCATTTGGATCTGAATTCCATTGAAAACTGAGAACAAGATGGCAACAACAGTGGTAATTTTTGGAAGAGAGGCAATGAGGTGTAGTGGATAGAGAGGCAACCTCTGAGTCAGAAAGACAAGTTCAAGGGCTGCTTCTGATACTAGTTGACTGAAGAATACTGGATAAATTACTAATTCCATTTCTATCTCCCCAGTACCTCTATTGTTTTTTTTTTCTTTTTGGTGAGGTGATAGGGGTTAAGTGACTTGCCCAAGGTCACACAGCTAGTAAGTGTTAAGTGTCTGAGACCAGATTTGAACTCAGGTCGTTCTGACTCCAAGGCTGGAGCTCTATCCACTGCGCCACCTAGCTGCCCTACCTCTATTCTTTAAATAATAATTCTTTAAAGCATTATGTTGCAGAACTGTTTCTAATCTGTATTAATAGAGGTGATTTTGTCACTTGAAATTTTCAGATCTGGATAAAATAACAATATCTCATGTTTATATTAACACTTTAATATTTGCTAAGCACTTCACATCTATTTTCTCATTTGATATTCCAATCCTGTGAAGTAGGTGCTATTATTATTGACATGTTACAAATCAATCATTCAGTTGATCAACAAGGATTTATTACGTACCTAATTTATTTCAGGCATTTTATGGATAAGGAAACTGAGGCTGTCAGGAATAGTGTTTTATTCAGGTCACAGAGTAAATGCCTGAGGTAGGATTTGAACGCATATCTTACCAATTCCATAATTGTTGTCCTATGGATGGTAGTCTGGCATTGAATCAATCAATCAATAAACATTTATTAAGGGGCTGCTATGCACCAGTCACTGGGAGAAATACTGGGGATAAAAAAAGAAATGAAGAGAGAATGGTGAGAATGAAGAATGCGTTTAGGAGTAGTAAGGAAGAAGAAGGGAAGCAAGATAGTGCAATGGATAGAACACTGGGCCTGGAGGCGGGAAGATCTGAGTTCAAATCCAGCCTCAAACACTTACTAGCTGTGTGACCGTTGGTGAATCATGTAACTGTTTGCCTCAGTTTCCCCATCTGTAAAATGATCTGGAGAAGGAAATGACAAATCACTCCAGTATCTTTACCAAGAAAACCCCAAATAGGATCACAAAGAGTCATATATGACTGAAACGCCTGAGCAAAGGGAGAGGGGAACATGGAATCACAAGAACGTTTATGAATTTGGAAGTAGAATTGAGTGAGGAGCCCAGTGCTATGACCTACTAGCAGGGCTAGGGGAGTGTTTAAGGGGAGTGGAGTTCCAGTTCAGACATGCTAATCCAACAGCAAGAATTCTTGAGTCTCTTTCGCTTTGGCTGATAATCTGCTATAAAATATCTGTTCATTCATCTCTTTTTTTTTTTTGTGAGGCAGTTGGGGTTAAGTGACATGCCCAGAGTCACACAGCTAGTAAGTGTGATGTGTCTGAGACTGGATTTGAACTCAGGTCCTCCTGACTTCAGGGCCAGTGCTCTATCACTGCACCACCTAGCTGCGCCCTGTTGATTCATCTCTTAAGTCATTTATCTTTATCTCTTCTGTGAGCCCAGGCTCCCACTGTCAATTTCTTTTTCTTTTCTTTTCTTTTTTTTTTTTGGTGAGGCAATCGAGGTTAATTGACTTGCCCGGGGTCACACAGCCAGTAAGTGTCATGTGTCTGAGGCTGGATTTGAACTCAGGTCCTCCTGACTCCAAGGCCTGGAGCTCTAGCCACTGTACCACCTAGCTGCCCTACCCCAATTTCTTTAAGTGAAACTATTTCATGTCACTATTGATCTCTTTATCATGTTTAACTAGTCAGCAATTTCATCTACATTGGGAATTCTCTATGAGGAAACTCTCTCTACTGATGCAGATAGGCACCTACTCTTCAGTTTATGATCTTAGAGTTTCTTGGGGCACTAAGAAGTTAAGTGACTTGCCCAGGGTCACTCAGTCATATGTTTCAGAGATCAGAGTTGAACCTAGGTTGTTTTTTTAAACCTCTGACACCAGCCCTCTATCCACTATGCCATAGTTGCTTTTATCATCAAATACAATGACTTTTTAATCAACCCTAATCCTTCCTCACCCTCTCTGCAGTGTTTAAACCTGTTATGTTTGAATTAACCTCCTTCTGACAACTTCTCTATACTTACTAACAGTGGCTTGCAACATCCCAATTATATTTTTACTCCCTGAATATTTCTTCTCTATCTCTATTTGTGGGGAATTTCTCCTCTCATACTCCTTAAGTGTGGATATTCTTGAAGGGGTTGGGTTTTTACACTTTCCTCTTGGTATGTATATTTTTTTCCTCTGTAATATCATCCTCTCTCACAACCTTATCCATCACCTCTATCTCAGCAGCTCCCATGTTTCAGTCTCTGGCTTCAATTGCTCTTTTGAGATCTAGTTAAGTAATTCCTGAAATATTTGCATTTGAATATCCCGACAGCAAGCTTATATGAGAAAACAGATAAAAATGATCTTTCCTCTAAACTAACTCCTCACTTTTATTTCTCCATGACTGTTAATGACAGTACAAGTTCCTTAGACTTCAAATGTTGAATCTTTGACTTATTCCTCTTCCCCACATCCCATATAAATCATCAAGCTCATAATTCATCTTCAATCAATTCTTCTCTTCCAGTCTCACTGCCCCCTCCCTGGTTCAGGTGCTTAATCAACATGAATCCTAGAATTATTGCAATACCTTCCTAATTGCTCTCCTGCCAACATTACAAACCCTAGTCATTTTACTATGTGTTTTAGTGGATTAAGTTTCCTAGACTACAATGACATTGTAGCCCATAAAAATTGATGGTGCCATGCTGCCTAGAGAATAAATCTGTATACCCTTAGCTGTACAGAATCTAGTCCTTCCAATAAAATCGTACAATCTTGTGGACCACTACTATGTAACCCAGCCCTTATACTTTAGTCAAATTGAACTGGTTGTAGTGAATGTAAGCAGAATGAGGGTCAGGACTTTCATCTGGTTCTTTGTTGTGATTTTTCATATATTTAGCATTTTTTAAAATCAGGAACTAGGAATAAATTCCTAGGACTTAAGTCAATGAGTTTAAGAAGGATGAAGAGTTAAGTCATACAAAGTCAAATTGCAGGCATCAGGTTTTGGCAATTTATTGTGTCCAGTAAAACAATGACTTTCACATGTTCTTGTAGTCCAATTGAAAATTCTAGGATTATTTTCCAAATCTTATTTTTACTCTACTTGAAGTTATTTCTTCCTCCCTCCCTTCTTTTCTCCTTCCTTCTTATCTTCCTTTCTTCCTTCTTTTCTCCCTCTTTCCTTCCCTTCCTCCCTCCCTGTCTTCCTTCCTACTTTTCCTCCTTCCTTCCTTGCTTCCTACATTCCTCCTTGCCTTTCTTCCCCATCCCTTTCTACCTCCATTTCTTTTCTCTCCCTCTCTTCCCTCCTTCCCTCCTTCCCCTCCTTCCTTCCTTTCTTCTTTCCTTTCTCCCTCCTTCTTTCCCTTCCCTCCCTCCCTATCTCTCTCCTCCTTCCCTCCTTCTTTTCCTTCTTTCTTATTATTGCCCCTCCATCTCCAGTTTATGATCCCATGATTTTTTATAAAACATTACACTGTTTGCTCATAGGATAATAACAAACAGAATCATAGATTTAGAGCCAAATGGAAAATACAGGCCATTTAGTCCAAACTCTTCATTTTCAAGATGAGGAACTTGAAGCTAACAGTAGTTCTGACTTGCCTGAGGTCAGGAAGGTAATGGGTAATAGGGGACAAAACCAGCATTTGAACTCTTGTCCAGTAACCATTGCAAAGCCAGTTTTCTTGCCATGGTGTCACATCATCTTTTACTGAACTAGCAGTGCACTACAACCCCCAGATAGTCTTAGGACTAACTGCTATATAGCCACAGCTTGCCCACCTTCTCCTTGGGAAATATATTTTTGATCTCAGATATGAGACTTCCACTTATATTTACTGAGGCGTTCAGCATAGTGGGAGAAAATGGACAAGAGTCATACAGTATGTTTAGGCTTTGGAGGGAGCTTCTAAATTCACAATAATGGCAATTTCCTGACAGTATCTACCCTTCATAACAGATGGATGCATAAAAATTACCAGCAAGTACTGGCTCTGAAGTTTTCTGTGGAGATCAACAAGAACCCCAGTCTGTTACCCAACACTACCCTGGGATATCCCATCTACAATGCCTACCCTAGTGATGCAAGGACCATGGAGAGCTCCCTGATGTGGCTGTCAGGATCAAGCCACATGATACCCAATTACAGCTGTTCAAGGCAGGACAAATCTGTGGCTCTCATTGGAGGAGCTACATATTCATTATCTGTCCAGATGGGGACCCAGGTGGGAATAATGAAACTTGCATCAGTAGTGTCTTTCAGAGGCTGCCTCCCCCGAGTTTTCCCCATATTATGCAGCTAGGAGAGAATTAAAATCATCTATTTTAGAACTAGAATTGACCTTGGAGGTCACCTAAAGCAGCTTCATCATTTTACAGCTCAGAAAACTAAAGAAATGGACAAAGTAATTTGCCGAAGCTCTTACGGACACAACCCAAGTCTCATTACTCCCAGGTGGCTGCTCTTTCTACTATACTATCTTATCATTTTGCCTCTCAAACTCTGAGATGATCCTGGCTATCAATAAATTCATCTTTTTAATTAAAAAAACAGATTTATGTAGATACTACTGGGTGCCGCATGGAAATACGCAGATTATTTTGGACAATGGCAAAAGAAACTATGCATTAAATGAAAGGGGAAGAGGAGGACATGGGAAGGAGACATATCTTACACTCTTAAAAAGTCCATACATAAAATATACCTATGTAAAATATTTTAGATTTACTTTCCACCCCCGTGTGATAGTAACATTAATTGATGCACTGAAAATCAAGTGTATGAAGCTATTAGGATGACTTTGCCATATCTGTCACTGCTTTGGTATTGAGTCAAATGAATAATTCATCTACATTTTGCTATTGAGCATTACATAGAACAGCTTTCTGGGTGGTATAGAATGACATACAAATTCACCTCTGCCCATAAAAAAATTGGTGTTTGTCTTTTTGTGACCTTGAATGCTTCTCAAACTTAGAGAAATCCAGGAAGTCATTTAAGAGGTAAGAAGATAAGTTTGTGGATAACTTCCATCCATTTCAGAAAGAGGTCTCTAAATTGTCAGGTTGAGATCTGCACATCTTCTTGAGCCTTGCAGTACCTACACTGTCAGATATCATCATCATCATCATCATCATCATCATCATCATCATCATTATCATCTATTACTTTAAGTTTTGCAAAGTGCTTTAGATACATTTTCTAGACATACTCTATAGGCCTTTTCCAGACTTTGCTGAACTGAACCTCCAAGAGTCCTACTCAGAAACATATGACTTTCACGGAATTTGGATCTGGAAGGGACATTAGAATATGTATATGCTTTGTTTCTATTTATTTGCATAAATAATATTTTCCCTGTCTACCAAGCTTTCTACAGAATCTAGGTTTTTTGAAGTCAGAAGGTTTCAGTGTATGTGTGTGTGTGTGTGTGTGTGTGTGGGACTAGGCATTTCACTTGCCCTGTTGTTCAGTCATATCTGATTTTGTGACCTCATATAGGCTTTTCTTGGCAAATATACTGGCATTGTTTGTCATTTCCTTCTCTAGTGGATTAGGCAAACAGAGGGTAAGTAACTTGCCCAGGGTCACAAAGCTAAGGATATCAGATTTGAACTCGGGTCTTGCTGACTCCAGACCCAGTGCTCTACGCCCTGAACCACTTAGATGCCGGCAGACATCTCACTTAGCAGGCACTTAATAAATGTTTGTTGAACTGAATTCCTAGCATCCATTTTGATTCGTGCTTCCTGGTCTGAAGACCATGTTACTTGTCAGGGAAAATAAAGAGTTGGGCAGGTCCCTTTTCTCTGCATCCATCATCACCATTCTGTTCAGAATCACCAAACCTCTGAGTTAAATGGAGAGCCCTATGAGGACACTTAACCCAACCCATACATGAACAAGAATTGTCTCATGTGTGACACACCTGACGATTCTTCCTTATGGATTTTCAAAAAGATCTCCAGGGATAGGAAACCTATTGCCTCCCAAGGAAGCTCATTAGAAAGCGCCTTTATCTTTTTTGGAATTTTTTCCCCTTTAGCTAAAGCCTACGTTTCCCCTTGAAATTTCCACCCCTTGCTCCTATTTCTGCACTCTAAGGCTAAGTAGAACATATTTAGTCCTCCCTTCCATAAGACAGTCCAAGTATTTGAGGACACCTAGAATATTCCACCTAAATTATCCTTTCCCCAGGCTGAACCTTCATTATTATTTTAAAAGATTCTCATATGGAATGAACTTGAGATCCATCACTAATGTGGATGCCCTCCAATGTCAATGTCCTTCCTAAAATGTGACATCAGTAAATGAATGTTATACTTACAATATGATCTGAGTAGAGCAGAGTACAGAGGTGACTATCATATCCTTATTCCAGGAAGCTCTGCCTCTCTTAATATAGACCAGCACAAGCTCATATTAAGCTTGTAGTCCACTAAAACGCCAAGATTGTCATTTAAACGAATCATTATGTAGCCATTTCTCATCTATCTTGGGCTTGTTGAACATACTTTAATACAAATGCAAGACCTTAGATTTCCCCCATTATACTTTATCTTATTAGATCTAGCCCAAGATAAGTCAAGCAACACCTTAATCGTATCTTGACTGTTATCAATTGTGTAAGATACCCTTCCCAAATTTTTGTGTTTTCTAAATTCGATTGGCATATTGGTGATATCTTTATTCAGTTCATTGTTTTTCTTTTTTACAAAAAGGTTAAATGGTACAGGGCTGAGAACAGACTTCTGGGACACTCACTCGGCAATGTCCTCTCAAGGCAACATTGAATCATCAATGACTACTCTTTGGGTCTAGTTATTCAGTCGTTTTGAATGCACCTAAGTGAATTATCATTTAAATTTTTTTTCTTTGCTAGTTTAAGCTCATTCTGACCTTCATCAGTCCTTGTGATATTCTTATGTGACAGGGCCATACTTTCGTATTTGTCCTTAACTATTTGCCCTTGCTTCTATTTTGTTTATGAGTCAATGAATCGGCAAGTATGCATTAAACACCTGCTTCATGGGGCATTATGCTAGTTGAAGAGTGAGGGGGATGGGAATGTAACTAGAAAGAATGAAGCAATCAGCTCTTGAGGAGCTTGTGTTCCCCCACAATTGACAACAAATGAATATCTAACTATATAGAGAATGAATAAAAAGAGAAATAGCACAAAGTTGCCAAATACAAAGTAGCTTGGGAGGGAGGGCATTACTAGTTAGAAGGGAAGGATTAGGAAAGATTTCATATAGGAGGTTTTGCTTAAACTATGTCTGGAAGGAAAAGAAGGTTTGTCTAAGGTAGAAGGGAGGAGGTAATACATTGCAGGCACGGGGGATTTCAAGTACAAAGGCAGAGAGATGGGCAATATAGTGTTATGTGAGCAAAAGAGAGAAAAGGGAAGTTTGGCTAGATTGCAGAAGGTGAGAGGAGGAGGCATGTGTAACGAGTCTAGAAAACTAGGTTGGTGCAGGTTTTGAAGGGCTTTAAATGCTAAGCAGAAAGGTTTATCCTAAGGCCAACAAGGAGACATTGGATTCAATTGTATAGAGAAGAGATATGATCATATCTCTCACTTTGGGCAGATAGAGGAGAGATATGGTCGTATCTATCACTTTGGCAACTGTGCAGAGACTTGCAAAGGGGAGAAAATGAAAGGCTGGTGTAATGATCTAGGTCAGGTGTGGGGAACCTCGAGGCCACATGTGGCCTTCTAGGTCCTCAGGTGTGGCCTTTTGACTAAGTCCAGGTTTCACAGAACAAATCCTTTCATTAAGGGGATTTGTTCTGTGAAGTTTGGATTTGGTCAAAGGGTCACACTCAAGGACCTAGAGGGCCACATGTGGCCTGGAGGCTGCAGGTTCCCTACTCCTGATCTAGGTGAAAGGTGATGAGGTCCTTAAATAAAGTGGTAGCTGTATGAATAGAGAGAAGGAGTAGAATTGACAGATGCGAAAGTAGAAATAGTAAGATTTGGCCACTGTTGGAATATGTAAGTTTGTACATAACTTTTCTCTTTCTTCCTCAGGGGTTAGAGACAGATGACGGCACTGTGGAGAGGGCTGGGCCTTGAGTTAGGAAGACTAGTTCAAATCTAGCCTCAGCTACTTACTAGATGTATGACCCTGGGCAGGTCACTTAATCTCTGTTGCCTCAGCTTCCTCAACTGTAAAATGGGGATAATAATAGCACCTACTTTGCTGGGTTCTTATGAGAATGAAATGAGATATCTGTAAAACGTCCTTAGAACAGTGCCTGGTACATTGCAGACACTTTATAAATGCTTATTCCCTTTCCCTCATCAGTGGAATCGGTTGTCTTTGTGTCATGAAAATGTCATTCTTTAGAGATCCTTCCTAGTATGATTTGTCCTACAGAATTTCATGCCACAGATTCTAATCTAGCCTGTTTCTAAAGTCTCTGTAATCTACCATTCCCAAATCTAATGTGTAGGTCAAATTATTCCCAGCATTTTCTTTCTTGTCTATCAACAATTCTCAGATGAGATGGACCTTTCCTTCCGGGGTTACCACCATTCCCACCACAGCACACAGTTCTTCATGGGTTAAAATCATATCCAGAATAAGATCATAGGTTTAGAACTGCAAGGGACTTCACAAACCATTACATTTTTACAAATGAGGAAACAGTGGCCTGGCAAGATTGAGTGACCATATAGGTAGTTAGCACAGAAGAGTGCCATGCACAGGACTTTTCTTGTAGGAGATTGAAGTTAGCATTTTGGAAGGTTAAGACATTATTGACCTGTTTACTTTCAGCAGAGAGAAAGTACTAGCAGGTCTCAGGGTAATTGTGCAAGCTTGTAATTTGTTTCCTGAACTCTATCTCTCTCTTCTCTTCATTTACAAGTGGTTTGTATTATGCCTAGGTGACAATAGCGCTTCTGTTTCTGCCCCCTACTGATGACTGCCAAGTATTCTCCACCATACTTCTCCACAGTATCATCGGTTTGCTTTGTAATCCTTTGTATTTAACTTTTATGAATGTAACCCCTGTCCTAAGGCCCATTGGTAGGGGACTCGCTCCTTATTGGTAGAAATGAAGGTCTTGCCCAGGGTAAGGGGTTGGGAAGAGTTGCTGAGAGTGGAGGAGCTTCAGTTTTCAGCCCTTTGGGGACTGTTCAAGCTGGAATTCTTTGGAGCCCTCCGAGCGAGTTCCCTTTTGAGTTTCCTTTGAGGATTCTCCAAGTGAAAATCTTCATTGGGTATCAAGTCAGCTTCCAGCTTCGAGAGAGAAAATGGGAGAGGACAACCCCACTACAGGTGTTGGAAGGAAAAAACCCTGGGAAGGCATGAGAGGAGCAAGCAGTCTTCACCATGTACCTATCCCCAGCTTGCCACTTTGGAGATTTCTTTGCTATTCACTGTGTGTGTTCATCGGGAAACTGGTATTAGGTGGGAAAAGGGTCAAGCTCGGGATTGGGGTCCACCCTTCTTCCCAAAGTGACAAAGTGATCAAAAGTTAGGTGGGACCTGATCATATCCCCTAGGTTAATAATATTTAAGGGAGAAGATAGATATACTTCTAACCTGGTATGCCTTCTCTCTGAGGAGAGTGGAGTGGTGGCCTCTGAACCCAACCTCATGCTTCCCCTATTGGCAGGAATGAAAGTCTCCCTTGGAGAGGGGTGGGAGGGGGTTAGAAATGTCTATACTGCCCCAACTTTGAACCACACAAGGACAGTGTCCTCCTTTCCACAAGTGGAGTCTTACCATACCCGTGGGGCTCACTCCCCACTCCAACTGTTACATACATTTAAAAACATTATTATGAGAAGGAGTCTATGAGCTTTGCCAAACAATCAGATAGGTCTATTACATGCAAAAATGTTAAGGACTCCTGGTATATTTGGTATAAAAGGTAAGAATCTCTGGCATTTTGCCTGAAATATAGATAGATAGATAGATAGATAGATAGATAGATAGATAGATAGATAGATAGATAGATAGATAGATAGATGGAGAGAGAGGCAGACAGAGACAGGGAGAGAGACAGACAGACAGACACACACACACACAGAGGGGGAGAGAGAGAAAAGAGAGATAGAGAGAGGAAGTTTTTCTCTCTTCATTTTCAGTTTAAATCTTTTTTGATTACACTTGCAAGGCTCTAAATAAATTTGATATTATTAGCTCTTGTTAACTGTTGTCCATCTCTCAGAAGGAGAATATCATAACTGTATTTAAATTGTGATCCCCAATCCACATAATATTCTCAAACATCATCTCCTAAACATTCTATTTTCTTCTCAGGTCTACCTTTATCTTCTAAATTATTTGCCTTGGATGGACTGTGGTGATGATACCACCACATATGCCCCTAATATTTTGATCTAACATCCCTAATATCTAGACATCCTCCTCTTTAGCAATATTTTTTAGGTTCTTTCTGGGAGTAGTGATCATTTGTGTGAATGAATCATCAGAAGTAGGGAGTACTGCAAATCTTGGAAATTTCTCCATCATGTTTTGGATACATACTGCCAAAAGATAGAAGACCACTCTATTATGGATATCATCAGGTCAATAAGCTCACCAGGCCTCACCAAACACTCTGACAAAGCTCTTCTTCTTCTGGCCCTGGTGGATGAGTTCTCACCTGCTCATAGCTGTGGATCCACCTTAATGGTTCCTTGGAAGACATCATATGTAGGTGACTTTTTCAAACTCTGGGTTGGTGAGTTCCTTACACTTCCACATCAGTTGCATCCTATTCAGCCTGTCTAGTTTCCTACTCTTCTAAATATATCTCCTATTTATTCCTGTTTCAAGGGGTCAGTGTTCCTTCTTCCCTGTCTCTTCTGGGTGACATTCTTCTGCTCTTCAACTTCCTGACATTGGATTTCCCTTGAATCTATGGGTTCTTTGGCCTCTGTTTCCATTTTGAAACCCTTTTTGGTCATTTTATTTGTTTTTTAAAGAAGTTATTTCAGGGGCAAGTAGGTGATGCATTGGATAGAGCACTGACCCTGGAGTCAGGAGGACCTGAGTTCAAATCTGCCCTCAGACACATAACACTTACTGGCTGTGTGACTCTGGACAAGTCACTTAACCCCAATTGTCTTACAAAAAAAAATTGGGGCAGCTAGGTGGCACAGTGGATAGAGCACTGGCCCTGAAGTCAGGAGGACCTGATTTCAAATCTGGTCTCAGACCAAACACTTGACACTTACTAGCTGTGTGACCCTGGGCAAGTCACTTAACCCCAATTGTCTAAAAAAGAACAAAAAGGAGTATTTCATACTTCTCAATAATCTTAAAACGGGGGGGGGGCAGTCTTTAAGCCTTTTTACCTTCTCTTCAGCTTATGCTTTATCCCTTGACCACAATAAGAATGTAAACATCACATACTCTCTCTGAGTCATGGTGGAATTCCATCTACTCTGCATCTTGCTAAAAGTGATACCCTCCATCCTTACAGTTCAACTAAAAAACCGTGTATCACAATTCTGTTTGCTCTCACAACACTATTTGCTCTTTCACTTATAAAAAGAGTCACCTTCATGTTCCCTCCTCACACTTGCTGAATAAGAAAACAGTTTTACCCCAGAAAATAATTTAAGGCAAAGAATTAAAACACACACACACACACACACACACACACACAGGTACAATGAGGAGGTATCCTGGTATTTGGGGGAAAAAAGAAAGATGGCTGAGGTGTGCTGTGTGAGAGATTACAGGAGAACTAGAGTCTCTAAAACTACTAGAAAAGTTATTTCCCAACAGTAGCTTCAATAAGGTCTTCTAAGTGTGACATATGACAGAATTTTCAACTACCCTTTTAATTGCCAGTATAATCTGAAATTCATATATTTTTTTCTTTTTAAGATTTTTTTGTGAGTGATTATTTGGATTTTCCTGATATCACTCTCTCAGTATGTTTCCTGTAACTCAAAACAAATCATGTTTCTACCTATTCAGATCAGCTATTGTCCATTTGATCCCATTCTGAATGACAAAGTCAAATTTCCTTTTCTCTATCAAATGACTCCAATGGACTCCTTTCTCCATGTGGGTATAGTCAGGCTACTGTTATATTTTGGCTGGAACTGGGTGGGGCTCGTTGCCCCAGATGACATGAGTGGTGAAACATTCTTCTGGGATATGCAAACAGAGATGTCCAGTAATAATGCCTGCGTAGCCTTTACAGAGAAGATCTGTTAGTGAGAGACGCCATGCTGAATCCCATGTGGCTTTCATGCCCAGGATCCTGCAATCATCAGCCACAGTGATTGTCATTCATGGGGATTCAGATACACTAATGATCCTGAGACATTCACAGAATCCTGCCTTTCTAGTATTGAAGGTGTGGGTTGTCACATCTCATTGGGATATTACAGTTAGACCTCATAATTTAGTTGCATACAGTTTTCATGGGGCTTTAATATTTTCACAACAGACAAGAGAAATTCCTGGATTCAAACATTTTCTCAGATTAATAAACCCTACTAAGTACCCTGAGGACACTTTCCTTAAGAGTTTCTGGCAATCAGTTTTTATGTGTACAGGTGATCCCATAGTAGTGGAAGGAGAGAAATGTTCACCAAATACTTCCTTGGAGAATCTGCCTTTGCATCATTTTGACATGACCATGTCTGAACTGAGTTATACCATCTACAATGCTATGTATGCAGTGGACTGGGCCCTTCATGAAATGTCCCTGATCAGATCAGAAATAGAATTTATAGACAATGAAGAAAGTCATCTGGTACCTTGATTCTAGCAGGTGACATACTTTCATAATGAGTTATATTATCCCTTTAGATTCTCCCAGGGCCCAAGAGAGTGAGGTATACCTATGGTCTATCATTTCTTGGTTTTCTTATGTTTCATCTTGGAATCCTAAGAGATCTGTCTTAGAATTAAGGATGAGCGGTAATAATGGTGAGTTGGCAAAACCTGTGGTATGGGGAAACTCAAGATCTTTTCTTCCTGAAAAAAAAAAAATTGTATCCTTTCTAAGGGTTTCAAATGTCTTTACATGTCCTGTTGCCTAGGAAGGAGTTTTAAATTAAGAGAATCAAATTTGTGGCCTTCCCAGTGCTGCCCAAAATAGATTAAAATGTGAATGGGAAACATTAACAAAAGAGATAAAAATGCAGAAAAAGTAAATAGTATTTCATTTAAAAATATATCAATATATAGCCTACAGGGATCTGTATGTGTGAATTTGTGATCCCCAGTTCTATTTGAGTTTGACACCACTCATATAGATTCATTATAGGTTTAATTTGTTAAGAAATTTTCCTTATGGGAAAATTGAAAAACAAAAGTAGGAATGAAGACAGAATAGTACCTCTCAAACTCAAATTATGCTATGAAACAGTCATTATCAAAATTATTTGGTACTGGTGTAAAAATTGAAAAAAATTAGATCATTGTAACAGGGTAAGTTAAGGAAGAATTTAAAACAACTGATTTCAATAAGCCAGTGATGAACAAACATGAACACAATAATTATTTGGGGAGAAACTCCCTATTTGATAAGAACTGCTGGGAATGTTGGAAAGTAATTTGACCAAAATTGGATCTTGACCAATACCATACACTATATGCCAATAATGAAAAAGGTATATATACAACTGAAATTTTAAAGCACATTCTAAAAATATTAGAAGAGGCATAAGATTATCATCTAAAAATATTAAAAGAGACATAGATCAGGTACCATTTATAACAATAGCTAGGCAGAGAATCCTTAAGTAAATAAGAGATGGGAGATAATAATTCCGTGTATGTAAACATAATGAATAATTTCATGAATGTGAAAAGTTATTTCATTAATCAAATCAATGTAACTAGAACAAGAATGGAAACTAATAATTGGGTAAAGTCTTTATATCAACTATCTCAGATGAAGATCTAATACCAAAGAAACAAAGACAAATAGGGAAAACCAAGGTGCATTCCTCAATATGTAAGTGGTCAAAGAATATTAATAACAATCCTTAAAAGAACTGAAATTTGTTTAAAAATCCACATGAAAGATTGTTCCAAATCACTACCAATAAGATAAATGAAAATCAAAACAACTCTGAAGTTTCAATTCAAATCTAACAAATTGGTAAAGATGTCAAAAATATGAGTAGTCAACATTGGAGGGAACGTGGAAAGACAGGTACACTAATGCATTATTGATGATGCTGTAAATTGGTTCCATCTTCCTGGAAAGTAATTTGGAATGATTCTAAGAAAAGTAACAAAATGTCCATAGTCTTTTACCCAGAAAATCTGGTTCTATGCAAATATTACAACAAGGCCAAAGAAAGGGAAAGGCCAACAAATACATCAGAATATTTTTAACAATACTTTTTTTGTGATAGCAGAGAATGAGAAACTTGGAAGAAAAAGATATACCTGTTGATTGGCGAATGGCTAACAAAATATGGTACATACCTATAATGGAATATTAGTGTGCCATAAAAAACAAAGAACATGAAAAATTGAGAGAAGCATGGGAAGACTTAAGTGAACTGATGTACAGAAGTAAGCAGAATTAGGAGAATAATATATAAGACTGCAATGATGTAAGTGGAAAGAATTTTTAGAATTAACTCAGTGTTATATGATTATAATAACCAAAACCTTTTTCCTAAAGAAGATATGAGAAGATGCATATTTCCCTTCGTTGGAGATATGGGTGGAACTTTATATAATACTGTCAGACTCAGTTGATATGTTGGTTAGCTTTGCTTTCCTTCTTCCCTCCTTTACTTCCTCCTTTTCCCCCTTCCTTCCTTTTCCTTCTCCCTTCTTTTTCTTCCTCCTTCCTTTATCCTTCCTGCCTTTTCTTCCTTCCTTCTCTTCCTTTCTTCTTTCCTTCCTTCCTTCCTTCTCTTGCTTCCTTCTTTCCTTTCCTTTTTTGCTACAATAGATAAATCATTGGATGGGGAACCAATAGATACACTATAAAATGAGGGTGATGTAATAACAAAAGATATCAATAAAATATTTTGTAAAATGAAGCAAAAATAAAATTAAAATGTTCTGTTCAGAAACAATGGTGAAATTAGCAAGTTAAGGAACATACTCCAAGTGACTACATTTTTCTTTCTATACATGTACCTCCCTAAAAAGGTAATCTTACTTTCTAAGTCTGAAATTCGTTTTCTTTGTATATGAGTTTCAAAACAGGGCATCTCAGAACTTTAAAGAAAAGAAAAGTTTACTCTGTTAGATGTGTAGAGAAACAAGATGAAGTCATGCACTGATCTTTAACCTTTTTTCTTTGAAGAAGTATAAACAGAATCACTTTGATAATCTATTTAGTATGTTCATAGGAACCTTTTTCTACTAAATTCCACCCATTTTCCCCTTATAGCTTGAAAGTGACATTGGTTTTCATATACTATGGTAGTGGGGTGCAAGTTCTGGTACTTACTGTGAAGCTGGACAGATATTAAGTATGGGTTCCTCTGTCAGCTGAGAGCCAACTTCCCAAAGTGAAAGGTGATACATTGCCATCGTCAGGTAATGAATCCTGTTCATAGCAATTCATGAAGTACCTTGCTGAGGAGAAAAGTTGTCTTTGTTAAGAGAGACAATCTCAACCAGGAAAACTACAGGTCTTTGAAATACGAGGGGAATAAATCCCCTGTAACTGTTATTCAAAAAACTTTCTGAGCCAAAGAGGTTGAATGATGGTATGGTACACAAGGACACCTAGGATGCCCAGGAATAAATATATCCCTGACTCCATCTTCCTCTGAAGTGGAATTAGCATATATGGAGAAATTTTTCCTTCAGTGAAAGAACCAGGTCCTCTTTATAATAACTGATGTAAAAGCTGACTCTAGTAAGTATTGGTGGTTTAGGAGTGAATGAGAATATTGTTCACTCAGAATTTCCTTAAGTATTTACAGTGATATCTAGATGACATCTGTATGGTCACATTGCTGAATGATGTCTGGGATCCTGCTGAATTCAGTAAGTATAACAATGTCTGGAACATAATAGGTAAAATAATAAATGCTTTTTCATTGATTTAAATTATATTTATTGAATACCTACTGTGTACTATATTAGATTCTAAAAGGATACTAGCATTTCCAAATCTTCTTGTATTATTGAGATTTCATCCTAGGGGTGTCCTGGCAGGAGGAGGAATTTTTATCAAACTTCTAAACAATAGAAAAATGGGGGGAGGGACCATGAAGCTGCAGTATGTCCAAAATCTCTAGTACATTTGACATCAATTGTACTTAAGGAACGTTTGTTGAATTGCCAATTCTCCAATGCAATTATTCTCATGATTCTTAGTCCTCAAGCAACAGAGTGTGATTGGGATTTCTCATCACGTTTAGGTCCATTCCTTCCTGAAGAACATCCAATTTAACAACAGTACTGGGTACCAGGTGGTTCTGGATGAACAAAGAAATTCCGTGGCTGAATATGATATTCTGAACTACCAAGCCTGCCCTGATAATCCTGAAGTTCTTGTGAATGTTAGGAAGTTTCTGCCCCAGACTCCATTTGGGCATGATTTCACCATCTGTGAGGAGACAATTGTGTGGGGCTGGATTGATTCAAAGGTAAGAAATGATTCATGTCATTTTTCCACTTCTAGTTATGGACATTACTCTCTGCATTTGGATCATTCCATAACCCAAATTCTTTTTATAACTTCATCCAAGGCTATTAATAAATGCTATTTATCCAAATCTTTATCTCTTTGAAATCATACATCAAAATTATTCAATTCAGGAAAATAAATTATACAATCCAATCATTTTTGGTGCCATATAGACAGATTTTGAAAGATAGAGTTCTTATTTATTGTTTTCCTGAATTGACTATATTTCTAGGTATCCTTCAGAAATCTAGTTGTCCATATGTCTTTGAGATCAACCATTTTCATTAAAAATTACAGAATTTGGGTTATGGAAATGAACTTGGAGATGTTTGATCTAATATATTAATTTTCCACATGAGAAAATAAAGAACTATGGAGGGTTAGATCATGAGACAAACTCACCCAGCTAATAAGAGAGATGGGAGTAGATGAGAGACTCCAAATTGAGTGAACATTCTATTCCATCAAACTAGTCTTGATTTCCCCCCCTGAATACATAGAGCACACCCAGAAACTATAGATTTGCTATTTTTTGTCTGTACCAAACCAATATCATTAATTTTATTTTAAAATAACATTTTATTATTTTTTCAATTAACAAATATTTGTTTTCTTGGAGAGCCCCCCCCCAACTAAACAAGTAAGCAAAAAAGAGTATACACACATACATGTAGTTTATGCATACATACATATGTAGCCTATGTGTGTATATATACACATATATGTAGTCTATGTATGTGTGTGTATGGATATAGATATAGACAGTTAAGCTAGGCAATTTCTCACATTGACCATGTAAAAAAAATGTATCTCATTCTTCCTTTTCAATCTAACATTTCTCTGGCAGGAGGTAGGTATCATGCTTCATCAGCGTCCTCTGGTATGTGGTTGGTCATTGCATTAGTTAGAGTTTTGAAATCTTTTGAAGTGTTTCTTTATAATGTTGTTATTGAATAAAATATTCTCTTGCTTTTGCTCACTTTACTGTGCATCAATTCATTCAGTTCTCAGTTTCCCATACTTTTGGTCATTTTTTATGATACAATAATATTCCACTACATGCCCATACCATATTTTGGTTGGCCATTCTCCAATAGTTGAGCATCCCATTTATTTCTGGTTTTACTACTACAAAAAAGAGTTGCTATAGATATTTTTGTATATATCAGTCATTTTCCTCTGATCTCTTTGGGGTACGGATTCAGTAGTGGTATCAATGGATCAATGGATAAGCAAAGTTTAGTGCCTTTTGGGGAATAATTTCAACTTGTTTTCCAGAACGATTGGATTAATTCACAGCTCTACCAATAGCATAGTACCTCTTTCCCCACAGCTCCTCCAGTCTTTGTTTAACTCTTTTGTCATTTTTGTTAATCTGGTGGGTGTGAGGTGGAACCTTAAAGTTGCTTTAATTTGGATTTTTCCAATTTTTTTGTGATTTGGAGAATTTTTCATAGGTTGTTGTTTGCATAGATTTCTTCTTTTGAAAATTGCCTGTTCATATGTCTTGACCAATTATTAATTGGGGAATACATTTAAATCAGTTCCTTATATATCTCAGATATGAGTGCTCAAGAGAAAATTGCTGCAAATATTTTCCTGGTTACCTATTTTCAGTCTGATTTCAACTGGATGGATTTGGTTGTACAGAAACTTAAATTTAATATAATCAAAATTGACTATTTTTATCTTCTGTAATCCTCTCTGCCCTTACTTGGTCAAGAATTCTTCCTCTATTTATTTATAGGTGCTAAAGGTAATTTCTCCCTTGCTCCTATAATTTGATGAAGATGATGATGTCACCTCTTTAAATCATGTATCTAATTGGAGTATTTCTTGGTAGCAATGGCACATGCGGGCATATGCCTAATTTTTCCCATACTGTGTAACAGTTTTCTCAGAAGATTTTGTGCAATAGGGAGTCCTTAATCCCAGGGAACACTTCATGTGTACCTTTCCTCTGTAGTCAATAATCATCTTTATGCTTCCCTCCAATTATTGCTCAAACATCCCAGGCTAGGTGCAGTGAAAGTTGTGGCCTTGGATTCAGGAAGCTGTCTCAAGACAGGGAACCTGTTTGTTGCTTTGATTGTGTCCAGTGCCCAGAGGGGGAAATTTCCAATCAGAAGGGTAAGTTTACTCCCCAAGTCTTGTATGGTCACATGCAAATCATGGGAACATCTCTGTCTAAAGAACAATTGCCATATGTAGTCAATGGGGACATGAGAGCAAAAATCAAAAGCACTGACAGAATTAGGTCTCAGAGTGGCTGACATCTGTGCAAGTGAGGCAATTTGCTCTATGGTCCCTGAAAAGTGTCCTTTTATTAACTGTTTATTAATGTATCTTTTTTTTTAATACACCTATGGTCTGTCTTTTTAATTGGAAACTGTCAGGTCTGACTTGGGCTTGGAGATGTGTTATGATGTATCTAGGCTTATATTCAGGGATGGAGATGAGATAAATGAATGAAAAAAGACATTTATTTGCAAAGCACTATGCTAAGCTCTAGTGATACTAATACAAAAGCATGCCCTGCTCTCAAGGAGCTGTGATTTTAATAGACAACATAGAGAGGAAGTTTCAACTTCAGGAAATGTGGTTGGGAACATTGCTTCTGCATATCCCCTCATCAGGGTGATGAGTAACTGCTGGGGTATTGACAGTTGTAGTCCGTTGACAAGGAAAAGTGGGGAATGGGAGATGTAATTAGGGGCAGAGACTCACGTGGGGAAATTAGGAGCTCCGGATAGTCTGTAAACCCTGCATTACCCAGCCAATGAGGAAACAGGGGAGGGAACTATGATTCAGACCTAGGAATAAAAAGATCTGCTCTCCCTTTTGCAAGGTGTGTCCACACATGGGGCACCCAGCCTTGCTTGGTCATTAATAAAAAGTTTTTCTGGTTTGCCAATGGTTTCTTGGAACTTTTGCTGCTAATAAATGGGGGCCCATACAGAATCCAAATATCCTGAGTGAGGATGGCTGATGTGTAAGGACAGGAAGATGTATCCTGTTGATTTCAATGGTTCCATTTATCCTCAGTGGGCGTCTCAGCTCATGTACTGTTCAAGATCCTAGGACCAGGTTAATGAGTGAGGTCATTGCTGAACCAGGAACAAAAAGGGAAAAGGGAAAGTAGGCATGTGGTAATTAAGCAATTCTGTGTAAGACCAAGGTAAGAAAAGAAGATTATTAAGTATTGCCTTGGTGGGGCATATTACTGGGGTCCAGAGACTGAGTAAGTCTTGGATAAATAAGTAAGATGGGGAATAATAATTCAAAGGCACCAGAGAAACCAGGGGAAATGAGGAGACCTTTGTGGACAATCTTCCAGATATTCCCTTAGGGAGGATGTGGAAATACTGGGAAAATATAAGATAGAAAGATAAGGAAGATCACAGCTGATGTCAGTTAACTGAAGATAGCCTAAAAAGCCAACAAGAAAATTAGATTTGTGCGTACTTTGTCTTGTCCAGCTGTTTGTCTTTGTGTGTGTGTTTGTAAAATGTTTGATGTTTGTGGTGAAAGATTTAAAATGAAGGTCTGTAATTAGAGAAAGAACATTGGGAAAGAACTCCCACCTTCGACTCTCAGTGGGAGATTTTTGGGTCCTAGCACTGGTCAAGTTGGGATATCGGAATAAAGTTAGATAATGAATAATGGAATCAAAAAGCAGGGAAAGACTCTCTCAGAAGTTAGTGGAAGGTTCAGCAAACAGCCTTTACAGCCCAAGATAGGAAGAGCTGACAGAGGGAAAAGCTAAGGCTTTGAATTCATGTTTAATCAGATCTCAAAGCTATTTGTGAAGGGTGTAGTGGAAATATAGCTCTCTTGATTTGCAAATTGTTAGGCATTAATTCCCTCCAGATTCCAATTAATTATTGAAACTCTAGAGGTTTTCTGACTTGGGGGGAAACTGACCACACCCTATCGGCATTGATTCAAATTCCTCAGGTTGTCTGAGTCAAACTCTTAGCTAACCTGAGTGATTACAGGTGATTTTAAACTGTTTGTAAAACTTATAAGCATCGGCCTCAAACTCCCAGAAGGATGAAATGCTTAGGGTATTGTTTTATCTGATAAGCCTCAAAAAGGAGACTTTTCAGCTCTTAAGGAAGTAAGTTATTTAGAGCCAGGAATTGTCACCATGTGTCTTTTTAAGGGAATATATGAATTTGTGGAGAGTATTTACTTTTAAAGGGGCAAAAGTATTAGATTAAAAAATGTTTTTAAATGTTTATCATTACCAGATCTGACAGGTCAAGGAAGGATTTTAACCAAATAAGTTGGGATTTAAAAACGTTAATATTCTCTTAACCCTTAGAATACTGTATGTCTTCTGCATCATTAAGAAGCTGTTAGGTCATTCTATCTGACCACGTGTTGTAACATTTTGAAGTCTATATTTAAAGGGAAGTTTCAGCTAAAATTATTTGGTTAATGAAGCTATTTGAAGTTATTATTTAAATCAAGTATTTGTAAAAGCATTTTTGTGAAAGGAAACTTGGTAATTGTGCAAAGAAAGGACCGTGTAAAATCTCCTTGTAATTAATTTAGTTTGTTATAGTAATGGGATAAATTGTAAGCTGTTTTGAAGAAAGAGAAATAGTTTTATGAAGAAATGTTTTGTAAAATCTTTTGTGTGATTTTTAGAAGGCCTACTGAATTTCTATTTGCAAGAATTTTGAGTTTGAATTTCTTAGGTTTGTTGTGTCCTTGGACTGGTCTTAATGAGTGTTTTCTGAGAAACAGAGTCAGTCAGCAGCTCAGTGGGAGAAGCATCAGAGGTATTAATACTAAAGCAATTACTGCAATGAGATGTAAGTGGGGCAATTGTTCATGAGTTAATGGTGATGGCTGGCCCCTTCTAACAAGGGTTTGCTCCTTTTCATGACGGCTGAAGGAGGTGGGTTGGAAAGAGGGCAAGTGGTCTGGAGGTGATGCTATTTTTAGAGCTCTTGGCCTTCCTGGTCCATCGATGACAGTCGGCAGTTGGTGACGGGTCCATTTTCATTATGGAACATTCTCCTTGATGATGACTGTAGGGGCACTTTGTTTCTTCCTGTGGCATCAAGGATAGTGCTATGAGTTTTCCTTTTGATCTATGAGAATCCATGAAGAGCTTATGGAGAAGACAGGAAAAAAATATGGAGAAAAGTGAGGAGAAACTTCTTTCTTCTCAAAACTGTTACCTGTTATATTATAAAGAAACACCATAAAGAAAATTCTATGAGTGAGTCAAGACTATTTTACTATAATGGGTGGAGAGAAACTAGAAGTCATAGGAGATGAAGAGTTCTTCCTTTATAATGAAGACATTTTCACCTTTATTTGTCAAAGTGGATTTTTTGAGGTAATTGGGGTGAAGTGATTTGGCAGGGTCACACATCTAGTAAGTGTCTGAGGCTGGATTTGAACTCAGGTTCTTCTGACTCCTGGTCCTGTACTCTATCCACCATGCCACTTAGCTGCGCCCAAGTGGATTTTTGAAGAGAAACTTTACTCGTTTTCTTGGGAGAAATTGCATCTTGTAGGAATCTCTTCGCAATTGAACAGAAATTGTCTATCACTGTAGTAAGGTTTTGAGGTGGTTTTGACTGTGACACTTTCCACAACTAAAATGTGAGAAATAATTATCCGTGTTTATTTATTGAATTGTTAACACATTGTATATCCCATAATTTCATTATTTATTTAATCATAGGAAATCAAAGGATTTAACAGAGAAGGAGATAGGGAAAGAAAAAGAGGGAGAGAAGAAGGGAGAATAGGAAAGAAACAGGTACAGAGAGACAAAAATAATTGGGAAAGGAGGTTTCACTAGTTTATTTAATCAATAACAATGAAATAGAAAGAGGTTCAGAGTCTGCTGGTTAACTAATGAGAGAGAAAGAACTTTGAATTCAAATTACTTTTAAAAAAAACATTCAAAAATCCTTGGATTATCCTAAAACTCGTGAAGAAAAGAATAAATATGAAAAGAAACCAAATAGCAGATTGAGAACTATCCTATAAGTGAGTGTAGGTGATGCTCATGCCTCACTACAATGGAGGATCATCGGATCAAATGGGTTTGATTTCAACTGAATATTCGCTCATCTTAGAATATTTTTACTTTTTAAATTAACGTGCATTTCCCCCTCATTCCTGCGTCTTCACATTGTAGAGGGAAAAGGAGAACAAAAGTCTCATGATAAATATGCATAGCCAAGTAAAACAAATTGTCACATTGATCTTGTCCAGAAATGTGTGTCATTCTTTATATTAAGTCGAGTACCTCTCCATCAGCAGGTGGATAGCATTCTTTATCATTGGTCCTCTGGAATCATGTTTGGCCATCACTTTAATCAGAGTTATTAAGTCTTTTAAAGATGCCCTTTTTCTGGTTTTTGCAATGTTGTTGTTATAGTATAAGTTGTCTTCCTGGTTCTGCTTTCTTTACTCTACATAAATTCATACCCATCTTCCTTGGTTTCCCTGACATCATCCCCTTCAATAAGAAAATGTAAGTTCTCTTTCTAGAATCTTTCCCAAACAAACTACATATGTGGGCTACAGTTTTGTTTATGCACTGAAACAGATGCAGTCTAACATACAGAAATGCACATTTTTATTGGGAAAAATACAATAAAAATTACGGATCAGATCCTGCATTTCAGCTAATGAAAATTCCACATGATTATGAAGCCTGAATTGAAAATGGGAGGGGATAGATAGGGAGAGGTGGATGGGCATGGTGAACCTTTCTTTAGATGAAGTCTTTCTTCTTAAGTCCCTCAGAAGTTGGTATTATATAAATATTCTATTTAAGGTTTTGATCAGTCATCTGGGAGGAAGTAATTTAATTACACAGTGAATTTTTTAAGTGTTCAAATGATAACTTTCCCATGGAACAAGTTAACAAACTGATAAGGATATACTTCACAATGATCTCAGAGTTTTAATTATTGGATTGAAATGGGACTAAGCTCAAACATGTATAAGTGTATATTTGCAGAGACAGTAAATATTATGCACCTACTATGTTCCTGGTACTCTACTGAGCACTGAAGATACAAAGAAAGTCAAAAGAGAGGCCTGATTCTGAGGGGTGGAGCCAAGATGGCAGAGTAAAAGCAGGGACTCACTTGAGTTCTCCCCCAAACCCCTCCAATACTTATAAAAATGACTCTAAACAAATTCTGGAGCAGCAGAACCCACAAAAAAGAGTAAAACAAATTTCCAGCCCAAGACAACCTGGGTAGTCGATGGGAAGGGTCTATAGCCCTCAGGCTGAGAGAGGAGAGCAGTTCAGCATGGGCTGCTCCCGCCGGCAAAGACCAGGGCCAAGCAAACCTGGAGCACGCCTCAGGAGATTGAATCATGGGCAGCTATGGTGGTTTCCAGACTTCTCAACCCACAAACACTAAAGGCAATTTACAAGGGCAGTGGGAAAGATCTGTTGGACCCGGGTGAGAGAGGAGCACTGTCTGGCCCTGGCCCTAGTGCAGCCCAAGGGTGGCAACCACAGCTGCAAAGCTCTCAGCTCACAGATGGTGGGGCAATCAAGTGACTGATCAGAGGGGGATTGCAAGGATCTCTTTGCTGGTGCTGAGGCAGGATTATCTTGCTGTGTCCTTGCTTGGATCTGGGTCCTAGTCCTGGGGTGAGCAGGAGCACTGGCATAGCAGAGCTTATGTCAGCAGTGGAGAGGGAACCCTCTTCTCATTTCCAGGCAGAAAAGAGTGCTTGTGGTCACTCATGGACCAGATCACAGGCCAGGAGAGAAGTAAACACCTCTCCTTAGATCGTGCCACATTGAAAGAACTGAAAACTTACAGTTCCCTAGAAGTACCTCTGAAATAGTTGCACAAAACTCCTGAAGCTTGGAGCAGTACATTCTCCACTCTAGAAGCAGAGCCCTACCTTAACAAAGAGTTAAAGTCAAGTGACTGACTGGGAAGATGAGCAAACAGAGGAAAAAACCTCAGACTACAAAATTTTACTTTGTTGATGAGGAAGATTGAGGTATATAGCCAGAAGAAAACAACAAAGTCAAAACTCCTACATCCAAAGCCCCCAAGAAAATTATGAATTGGTCTCAGGCCATGAAAGAGCTCAAAAAAGATTTTGAAAATCAAGTCAGAAGTAGAGGAAAAATTGAGAAGAGAAAAGAGAATGATACGAGAAAACCATGAAAAACAAGTCAACAGCTAAAGGAGACCCCAAAAAATGCTGAAGATAATAGCACCTTAAAAATAGACTAGACCAAATGGCAAAAGAGGTCCAAAAAGCCAATGAGGAGAAGAATGCCTTAAAAGCAGAATTGGCCAAATGGAAAAGGAGGTCCAAAAGCTCACTGAGGAAAATAATTCCTTAAAAATTATAATGGAGCAAATGGAAGCTAATGACTCTCAGAAATCAAGAAATTATAAAACAAAACCAAAAGAATTAAAAATAAAAGACAATGTGAAATCTTATTGGAAAAACAACTGACCTGGAAAATCAGGAAAGAACTTAAATTGGACTACCTGAAAGCCATGGTTAAAAAAAAAAAGAGCCTATACATCATTTTTCAAGAAATTGTCAAGGAAAACTGCCTCACATTCTAGAACCAGAGAATAAAATAGAAATTGAAAGAATCCACCGATCACCTCCTGAAAGAGATCCCAAGAAGAAAACTCTCAGGAATATTATAGCCAAATTCCAGAGGTCCCAGATCAAGGAGAAAATATTGTAAGCAGCCAGAAAAGAAACAATTCAAGTATTGTGGAAACACAATCAGGATAACACAGCATTTAGCAGCTTCTACATTAAGGGACCAGAGGGCTTGTAATATGATATTCCAGAAGTCAAGAGAGCCAGGATTACAACCAAGAATCATCTACCCAACAAAACTAAGTACAATCCTTCAGGGGAAAAATGAAAATTCAGTAAGATAGAGGACTTTCAAGCATTCTTGATGAAAATATCAGAGCCGAATTGAAAGTTTGACTTTCAAATAAAAGATTCAAAAGAAGGTCAAGAAAGTTAACAGGAAAGGGAAATCATAAGGGACTTAATAAGGTTAAACTAATTACATTCCTACATGGGAAGATGATATTTGTAACTCATAAGTCCTTTCTCATTATTAGGGTAGTTGGAAGGTCTATATATATATACAGATATATATACACATATATATACATATATACATATATGTATATATATGTGTATATATATCTGTATATATGTATATAGACAGAGGGCACGCAGTGAGTTGAATATGAAGGGATGATATCTAAAAAGAAAATTAAGGGGTAAGAGAAATATACTGGGAGAAGGAGAAAGGGAGAGGTAAAATGGGATAAATTATCTCACAAAAGAGGCAAGAAAAAGCTTTTACAGTAGAGGGGAAGAGAGGGGAGGTGAGAAGGAATGAGTGAACTTTATTCTCACCAGATTTGGCTTAAGGAGGGAGTAACATACACACCTAATTAGGTATGGAAATCTATCTTACCCTACAGGAAAGTAGGGGAGAAGGGGATAAGAGAGGGAGGGGTGATAGAAGGGAAAGTAGATTGGGGAAGGGGGTAATCAGAAGCAAACACTTTTGAGGAGGGATAGGGACAAAGGAGAGAATAGAATAAATGGGGGCTGAGATAGGATGGAGGGAAACATAGTATTTCACACCATGACTTATGGAAGTGTTTTACGTGACCGCACACATATAACCTATGTTGAATTGCTTGCCTTCTCAATGAGGGTGGGTGGGGAGGGAAGAAGGGAGAGAGTTTGGAACTCAAAGTTTTAGAAAGAAATGTTAGAAATTGTTTTTACATGCAACGGGGAAATAAGATACACAGGCAAAGGGGTATAGAAATCTATCTTACCCTACAGGAAAATAGAAGGGTAAGGGGATAAGAGAAGGGGCAGGAAAATGGAAGGGTAAGTGGATAAGAGAAGGGGCAGGATAATAGAAGGGAGAACAGATTGGATGAAGGGGGAATCAGAATGTAGGCCATCATGGGGGGAGGGGACGGATGGGGAGAAAATTTGGAACTCAAAATCTTGTGCAAGTGAATGTTGAAAACTAAAAATAAATAAATAAAATTATTTATTAAATAAAATAATAATATTTTTAAAAAGTCAAAAGACAGTGTTGTCACTATAATCACAGAATCCTAAAATTTAAATTAGAAGGTACCTCAGAGCTCATTTTGAGAAACTCTTACCCAAAGCATAGGTCTCCTTCATAACACCCCTAACAAGCGATCACTTAGTCTCTGAAGAGTTCTAACGATGGGCATCTCACTATGCTGACAGGCAGACCATTTCATTTTTGAGCAGCTCCAATTATTCAGACTTCTATTTTTTTCTTCCTAAGTCAAAATCAGCATCTTGGAATCTTATACCTATTTATCCAAGTTCTGGCCGCCATGGCCCCGTAAGCCAGGTCTATAGTCTCTTCCGTATGACTACCTTACAAATATTTGAAGACAGTTGGCACGGTCAATTAAATTTCTTGTCCAAGATATAGAATCCCAGTTCTTTCAATTATCTTATGACATGATCTCAAACCTGATATCCTTTCTCAAGATACACTCCAATATGTCGATATCCTTTCTAAAATATGGTATCCAGAATGATACACAGTACTTTAGACATGATTTTATGAGGGCACACAATATATGCCCAATGAATCTCGGAAAAAGAATTGCAAGCCAGTTAAGAATTCAGCATAATTTTTTGCCTGCTAAATTTACAGATGACACCAAGGTAGGGATATGTCACATTTTATGACAGTCAGGATTCAAAGAGATCTTGACAGGATAGAACTCTATATAAAACCTAATAAAATGAACTTCAATAGGGATAAATGTAAAGCCTTACTCTTGGATTTAAACAATAAACATCCTAAATTCAAAATGGTAGAAAAATGGCTAGACACATTTATCCAGTTAAGATGTGAGAATGTTAGTGGATTCAATAGCAATTAATCAAAATGGTAATGGTAATTAGATGGCACTGCAAGAAGCATAGTGTCCAGAACAAGGACAGACCCTGAGCTGGTGAGAATATTGAGTTCAGCTATATCATAGGAAGGATACTGGTAAGCTAAAGATGGCCAGAAGGTCTGGGACCAAAACAGATAAAGGCCTAGAGAAAATGATATAGGAGAAGGAATAAGGATATTTAGCTTGATCGATTAAGTTAATAAGGGTGTTCTCATCTTACAAAGGTATCGAGCCAGAGTGCCTTAAGAGGGTAAAGAGCGATTGATTGACACAACTGACAACCACTCTTGCACCAACATTTCATGTGCTCTGTCTATTTCTCTGGGGGTCTTGTGTGGTACATGATGGGGTTGTAAACTGAGGAAATCAGAACATGGTTTAGAGCAGCAGAGGGCCTTTGTTCTACGGAGATAGCAAGACTGACTTGAGCTACTGAGACCATTTTTAAAATCCAGGTAAATCTCTAAATTGACTATCATACATTAGGAATTTTTTGTCTGCTGTAGATATGGACAACTGTGTGAAATGCCCAGAAGGTAAGTTTCCAAATGGAATGAGAGATGGCTGTCTCTCCAAGGTAGTGACCTTCCTCAATACTGAAGAACCTTTGGGATTTGTTCTGGCCTGTACTGCTCTTTTCTTCTGTCTCCTCACAGCTGTGGTCTTTGGGATCTTTGTGAAGTACCAAGATACTCCCATAGTCAAAGCCAAGAACAGGAATCTCAGCTATGCTCTCCTTATCTCCCTGTGCTTCTGTTTCCTCTGCTCCTTGCTCTTTCTTGGCCGCCCATCCTCAGTAACATGCCTCCTACGGCAGACGATGTTTGCAGTTGTGTTTTCTGTGGCAGTTTCCTCAATTCTGGCCAAAACTATCACTGTGGTTCTGGCCTTTAAAGCGACAAGACCAGGAAACAGGATCAGGAACTGGGTGAGCCCTAGAGTGTCCATCTCTACTGTTCTCATCTGCTCTCTGATCCAGGTGACTTTTTGTTGCATATAGCTGGGAACTTCTCCCCCCTTTCCAGGTATAGACATGAATTCTGAGCCTGGATACATCATTATGGAGTGTAATGAGGGATCTGTCATTGCCTTCTACTGTGTCCTGGGCTACATGGGCTTCCTGGCCCTTGGGAGCTTCATCATGGCCTTCCTGGCCAGGAACCTTCCTGACACCTACAATGAAGCCAAGTTCATCACCTTCAGCATGCTGGTCTTCTGCAGTGTCTGGATCTCCTTCTTCCCCACCTACCGGAGCACCAAGGGGAAGGCCATGGTGGCTGTGGAAGTCTTCTCCATCTTGAGCTCCAGTGCTGGGCTACTGGGTTGCATTTTCATTCCCAAATGCTATATAATCCTGCTGAGGCCAGAGAGAAACACTCAAGAATCATTAAAAAAAAAAATGTGAGGTTTCAGGGTTAGGGGTCATTCAGTAATATTTCCCTAGAGATCTTGCTAGAGGGGGAAGAGATGCCTGAAAATTTATTCATGTCCTTTTTGTGTATCTGTGATTGAACTTTTTTGGTCGTGTCTTAATTGTAACGACATTTGTCAATAGACAACCCCTTCTTAACCCACCAGGTTTTATTATCTGAAAAAACCTTTGAATTTTTATGCTCGTCTTTCTCCATTCAAAATGGAGAAAACATGCCCTAATCATGCCTCTTCTCCCTTTCTAGTACCCTGGGAGCCCTTCCTTCCTGCTTTTTGTCTCTTCCAGAACCCCAGCAGCTAAATTTTCTATCCCTGGCAGCTTGCACACTGAAAATTTACAGTTTTCTAGATGATTGTCAGGGCTCTGCCTGTGAACCAGACAGACACATCTGAGTGGGTAACCTTCCCCTCTCTATAAAACACTTGAGCTTCTCTGACTCCAGAATGGTCCTTAAGCATAGACCCAAGAAATCTCATATAAGAGTTTGGAGTAACAAGTCAGATCCTGGAGATACTCTCACCAGGGCATGTGGTCTCTCTCCTCTTGGCACGGCCTGCAGACAACTGTGCCTCTGAGGCTCCCTGGCTTTATCTCTTCCCTATCTTTTCCCATCCTGCTTTGGAGGTGTCAATCCCAACCACAATATGGGGATATCAAACTGGGCTTGTTTGGGAGATGTCAGCTGATACCCAAGCAGAGGAGTAGATGCTCCACCAACATCCTTCCTAACTTGTTCCTACAATCCCCTTGGTGCTCCCTTGGGTGCACCCTGACAAATAAAAGGTCCTGCTCTTTTCAGCTTTGACTTGTTTGTCTATTTTTTTTTCATTCTCCCTGGCTGCATCCACACTACTGAAGACTGAGCCGTAAATGGGTCTCTGCTTTTGCTTATGAACTGCCTTCTAGAGGAGGATACCTCATTCTTAACACACACTGGGATCACTTCCTTACTCACCAACATGCCTTACTATCGATTCTTTTGCTGAACCTCTACTAAGGGCCATTTTTTTACAATTGTTCAGAGACTGGTGAGGCTTTCCCTTGGAAAACCAAGGATTCTTTACTCAGGATCTATGAACTTTAAAAATAAGTGAATGAATGCACACACACACACACACACACACACATATACATATTTAAATATTTTATTTTCCCCTATTTACATGTAAAGACAATTGTAAACATTCATTAAAAATTTTTTTGGAGTTCCAAATTTTCTCCCTTTCTCAACTTTCCCTTCCCTGAGACAGTAAGAAATTTAATATAGATTATATATATGCAATCATATAAAACATTTCTATATTCATAGTCATGGTTTGACAGAAGACACAGACCCAAAGGGGGAAAACATGAAAAAAAAAGTGAAAAACAGTATGCTTTAATCTGCATTCTGACTCCATCAGTTCTTTCTCTGGAGGTGGATAGCATTTTTCATCATGAGTCCTTTGGAATTGTCTTCAATCATTGCGTTGCTGAGAATAGCTGTCATTCACAATTGATCATCCTTATAATAATCATGTTACTGTGTACATGTTCTGTTTCTGCTCACTTCACTTTGCATCAGTTAATGTATGTCTTTCTAGGTTTTTCTGAAATCTGCCTGCTCATCATTTCCTATAGCACAATAGTATTCCATTACATTCATATACCACAATTTGTTCAGCCATTCCCCAAGTGATGGGCATCCCCTCAATTTCCAATTCTTTGCTACCACAAAAAGAGATGCCATAAATATTTTTGTACAAATACGTTCTTTTCATTTTAAAAACTTATTTTGATAGCTGCATTTCAATATAATTGATTTTCTTTTTAATCATCTCTATTTTATGCATTTAAACTCTTTTGAGAAGGGGAGCTTCACTAGGCTGCCATAAAACAAACAAAAAGGGTTAAGAATCCCTGCCCTTGACAAACATAGTTATTTGGGGTCTGTGTTCCTGTATGTCTACTTGGATCCCAGAGAAAGACTGGGTCCAATATGACCAATTCAGTGCGATGTATTCCTACCTAACCCAAGGTGTATGGAAGCTAGGTCTTCAGTCTATCAGGTCAGCGCTGTCTTTTTCAAAAGGTCAATTAATGGTGGAAAAAGCAATGAGGTATTATCGGAAAAGTTCTTTTACCACCTCCATAACTTCAATCATCTTATCCTTTACACTACTTCTATATATTTCACTTGGGAACAATTCAGTATATAGATGTGTCACTCATAGCCACCATATATGAGCACTCAGTGAACCAGACTGCTGTACTGACAGTTTTCTCTTATAGGGGTTATAATCCACAGGAATTTGGTGCATAGAGACACTGTTTCTCCTCCCACAAGAGAAAGGGAATCAACTCCTTAGGGGCAACTGACACCCAGAAGAGTGGGAAATTATGGACACAGGGAGTAGATTTTGAGGCAGATGGTTAAAAAAAAAAAAGACCAAGTAGAGGGCAAAGGTCAATCATGAATTGCACTGATAAAGAGGAGAAAAAACCATTTGTACATGTTAATGCTATGACAGCATATTTTTAAAATCCTAGGGAATCGGCAAATACCAATCAAGACAAAGCTGCAGGCTATAAAATAACAACTCAAAAATCTACTGAATTTCTAAATAATAATTTAAAAAATCCATGAGGAAATAATAAAAAGGGAAATCCCATTCCAAATAACTACAAAATGGACAAATTATCTCCAGGTCAATCTACCGAAACACATGATTTAGGAAAAAAGATGCAGAGAGACAATATAAGAATTATAGATTCAATTAAAATGTGTTCTTGAAGAAATAAAGAACTTAAATAGCTGGAGGAATATTTGATGCTCATGGCTGGGCAATGCCAATATAATAAAAATGACAATAGTACCAAAGTTAATTTATACTTTTAATGCTATGCCAAAGTATCAAAGGGAGACTTTATGGAACTTGATAAAATTATTTTAAAATTTCATTTAGAAAAACAAAGTATTTAAAATATCAAGGGGAATGATTAAAAGAGGCAGTTATAAAGGGGAAAGAGAACTTCCAGACCCCAAACTATATTATAAAGCAACAGTCATCAGAACTATCTGGTATTGGTTTAGAAAAAAAAAAAACAAAGATAGGTCAATGACTGGACATGGGAGAATCAGAAACAATGGAACTTAATAGTCCAATGTTTAATAAAGTAGAAAATGTAAAGTACTCAGACAATAACTCCCTATTTGATAAAAAGGGCTGGAAAATTGAAAAACAAGTATAGCAGAAATTAGGATTAGACCAACATCTTACATAATTATCCACAATGACTTTAATATTAAAAATCAAATAAAAAAGAAGAGAAATAGATCATATACCTCTCCTAGCTATGAGTAGGAGATATATTTTAACCAGATACGGGATAAAATGATAAAACAGTTAACTTTGATTACATGAAACTGAAAAGTCACAGACAAAATTAATGCACTTAGGATAAAAAGGGAAGCAGTTGAATTCTATCAAATTTCACCTTATACTCTGCAAGTTGGTGAAGATGACAACAGATAGGAATAACGCATTGTTTGGTAGATCTGTGAATTGCTAAAAACCATTTTGAAAAGCAATGTGGAATTATGTAAATAAGTGATTTAAAATGTCCAAACCCTTTGATCCAGAAACTCCATTAATGGGCTTATCAGTTATGCTGATTTTTCCTCTTTTATTTTTTTTTAATACTATTTCTATACTGGATAGATGGCTCTCAGGGAGGCGGAAGAGATATTGGGGAAATTATGATGATATAAATACACAAAGATATCACTAAAAATGTAATAAAAGAATAAAAGGACCGCAGAAGCACAGATTACATCATCTTTATTCACACTGTTCCTTATGCCTAAAGTGTCCTTCCTTATCCTCTTTTTCTATTAAAGTTCTATCTATCATTTAAAGTTAAAATTAATTGTCACTTCTTCCATGGAAGCTTCTCTGATTTCTGCCACCCCAAGTTGATAATGACCTTTCCATTCACAGGCCTCACACAGCACTTTCTTTGCTCCCCTCTAATGTAGTTATTTTATAGTACTTTGCATTTTAGCTGTCATATTTCTATACTAATTGCTTAGTTCCACGAGAGCCAGCATTTATACCTCCTGTTTCTACCACAGTGCTCTGCATACATTAGGTACTTAATGTTTGTTCAATTGAAATGAACATTTCTTCCTCACCATCCAGTTCTTTCATCCTCATTCCCAGAGGTAAGTTTTATTCTTGGGGACCTGAGAACTTAGGGAGAAGAATATCGTACAAAATAGCAGATATCTTTCAAACAGACATTTTCTCTGGGACTTAAATGTGAACTCTTCATAAGTTCCTAGATTCAGAGCTGCAAGAGACCTTAGAGGTCCTGTCCTACACTTTACAGATGAAGAAACTAAGACACAGAAAAGTTCAGTGAATTGCCCGTGGTCACACTGCTAGTGATTGTCTGAAGTGGTATGATAACCTAGGTGTTCTTGACTCCCAATACGGTACCCTGTCCACTACACCGAACTGATTTTCCAGGTCAGAATGGAGCCAAGGACTACATTGTCTGAAACTCATCACAAAGTCAACTATCATTCAATAAAACCTTTTAAAGCCCCTACAATGGGCCAGGCACTTGGCTAGACCCTGGGGAATGGGTTCTGTACTCCCCCTGGCTCCCGGCCCTCCTCAGAGCTGGACACCGCGCCTGCGCAGGCACTACCTCTGGACTACATTTCCCAGAGGCCTCTGGAAAGACTCCATTTCCCAGAAGCCCTGAGAATCTGTGTTTCGGGTCCCGCGGCTAGCGGCCTTTTCTGGTTCAGTCTATGCAGCCCTGATGCCTGCTGGGAATCGTAGTTCTCGTGGTGGGGGAAAGGGGGGGGGGGGGAGGGGGTCATTCTGCGCAAGCGCAGTGCCAAGGGCTAGGTGGTCAGCCTGGTATTTTCCTTAGGAGATGCGGAGGTGGCGGGGTCGGTGAGTGCGACCCCCTCCCCCGGGGGCGTGGCAGGGAGTGGAGTTGAGGGGGGCTTGCGGGGATCGGGGTGAGGGGGAAATGGGTGCTATTTTGTGCTTATGGTGCTGTCTATATGCGTGTGTTTGTAAGTTTCGTGTGCCTTTGTGTTTGAGTTTGTGCGTTTGTGAGCGTGAGTTTCCACGCGAGTTTGTGCGTGTTTATCTTTTGTGTGCATGTGTGTGTTTGTCAGCTGATGTGCGTTTGCGTGTCTGCCTTTGTGTATTTGCGAGCTTTTGTGCGAAGGTGTGTTGCTATTTGTGTTTGTGCTTTAGTTTGTGTGCGCGTGGATTGTGTGTTTTGTGCATAAGTTTGTGTGTTTGTCAGCGAGCGTGGGTTGTGTTTTCTCAGTGTTTGAGTGTGTGTGTGTTAGCCTAGGATGTGTGACTGATTCCTCCGTGGGGGAATCACCCCTTCTCTACCCTGGGCGACGCCACGTGTGAGGTGCCAGGAGTCCTGGCCGTGCTGCATGGTGTGTGCGTGCGTGTGTGTGTGTGTGTGTGTGTGTGTGTGTGTGTGTGTGTGTGTGAGAGACCGAGACAGAGAGGTGCACGTGTAGGTGTGGCAGCTAGACAGCAGGCACCCACTAAGCATGAACTACGCAGCCAGGTAGACCCGTGGACCAAGCGCCGGACCTGGAGTCAGGGAGACCCGAGCTCAAATCAGCCTCAGACGTTTCCTAGCCCTGTCCCTTACCCGCTGCCCTCCTCAGCTTCCTCGTTTGTAAGGTGGGGATAGAACAAGATAATATTTGTAAAGCACTTTGTGGATGTCACAGGGCTGTATAAATGCCCGGTATCCTTATCGTTACTAGCCAGCCACTGTGCAAAGTGCTGAGGACGTAGAAAAAGCTAAAAAGATGATCCCCGCCCTTGAGGAGCATGGGTTCTAATGGGGGAGACAACCAAGCTATATCCGCTGTAAAGGTAACGGGAATTTTAGAAGGAAGGGACTGGGTCGGGGCAGCGTGGGGTGGAAAGGATCAGAGAAGGCCTCCTGGAGAAGGTGGGAGGAGAGGCACTGTCCCATCCTTGGGGCTTGATGATGGTTGAGCCACTGGGGCAAAAGCTCCGGGCTTGGCTTAGTTTCCTCCTCCCATCCTGAAGACAGGTGACCATGGACAGCTCACTTAACCTCTCAATTCAATTCAGCAGACAGCCAAGTAGTGCCCACTGAGTTACTAGGTACTGGTGTTAGGGGTAAAGTGGTGGACTGGAAACGGGAAAACCTGGGTGCAAATACAGCCTGAAGACCCCGGCTGTGGGATGCTGGGCAAGCTCCTTCCTCTCTCTGGGCCTCAGTTTCCTTAACAGGTGCCTTCCAGCTCTGAAGCCAAGATTCTGTGATTTATTTCACGTAGAGAACTCTCGGGGCGAAAGAACAGCAGCTCATCCATTGGACAGCTAAGGGAGCACTAGAGGGTTCCATGACTTGCCCAAAGTTGTGCAGCTAGTAAGGGTCTCAGGTGGCATTTGAACCCGGGTCTTCCTGACTCCTGGACCTCTTGAGGAGATTCCATCCTCTGAGAAGATGGGGTGGGAGTATAACATGGACATAAGTAAGTCTGTTGCTTCTGACTCCCTGACTGTGTGACCCTGGGCACGGCCAGTGTAGGGAGTAGTCAGTTTATGCAATGAACATTAATTAAGCACTTACTGTGTGCCAGAGGGGCAGCTAGGTGAACAGTGGATCGAGTGCAGGGCCTTGAGTCAGGAAGAATCATCTTCCTCGGTTCAAATCTGGCCTCAGATACTTTCTAGCTTTGTGACCCTGGGCCAGTCACTTAACCTCTGTTTGCCTCAGTTTCCTCATCTGTAAAATGGGGATAATAATAGAACCTACCTCCCACAATTATGGTAAGGATCAAAAAGGATAAGTACTCCATGGGGGCTTCAGAGTCGCATTAACCCTTAATGACCCTTCCTTTCTCTAGAGTTGGTGTCACCGCCCCCACTTCAGGCTGTTGCCCCAAGGCCCAGAGAGTCCCAGAGGAGTGGGATGTGGCATGTGCCTCCAGCCCCCTCCAGGGCGTGGGGAATTCTACGTGGGCAAGTTGGGAAGGAGCAGGGCTTTGTCGGCCCCCTCCTGACTTCTTTTTCTTTTCCCCAGCTCTGCCTCCTCGGGAAAGAACCATCAGGAAGAAGAGAATGACTTCTGGGCTCTTGACAGCCAGGTTGCAGGTGAGTCGGGCTTTTTTCTCTGTGATGTTGGGGCTAGGGAATGGGGACTGGACCTGGGATTTCAATAGTATAGGGGACTCCCTGGTGAGGAAACGCCCTTCACCAATGCATGTTGGCACCTTCCTTGCAATTCAGTCTTCAGTAATTGCCTAGTGGTCCAGATAGCTGCCTGGCGGTTCCCTGGTGGTCTAGTGGTTAGGATTTAGCACTTTCACCGCTGTGGCCCCTGTTCAGTTTCTTGGGCAGCTAGGTGGTGCAGTGGATAGAGCACTGGGTTGGGGATCAAGAAGACTCATCTTCATGAGTTCAAATCTGGCCTCAGCTATGTGACCCTGGGCAAGTCCCTTCACCTGGTTTGCCTCAGTTTCCTCATCTATAAAATGAGCTGGAGAAGGAAATGGCCAACTGTTCCAGTATCTCTGCCAAGAAAACCCTCCACAAAGGGGTCGTTAAGAGTCAGGCATGACCAGAATGACTAAACAACATCGACTGAGAGGTTGAGTGATTTTGCCTAGGGTTCCACAGGCAGTATGTTTCAGAGGGAGGGCTTGAAACTGGGCTGTTCTCTTCCTTCGGTTGGTGATTGGCTTCTGGAACCACCATTTTTTTTTTTTTGGAGGCACTCGGGTTAAGTGACTTGCCCAGGGTCACACAGCTATTAAGTGTCTGAGGCCAGATTTGAACTCAAGTCCTCTTGACTCCAGGACCAGTGCTTTATCCTCTGTGCCACCTGGCTGTCCCTGCAGCCACCATTTTGAGGTAGGGCCCCGCAGGTACTGCAGCCATCCGTTACTCCTCAGGACTTGGCCAGCATGTCCCCATGTACCTTCTCCCCATTCTTCCTTTCTGCTCCTTTTCTTGTGTGGTATTCCTCTGTTAGAATGTAAGCTCCTTGAGGGCAGGGACTGTCTTTTTGCTTGTATTTGTAGCTAGTGCTTAGCACATTGCTTGTTGTCTAGGAAGAACTCCAGAAATGTTTGTTGACTGACTGACTGGTCCCAAGGTGGGTTCTCTGTCCTCTGCACCATGACACACCTCAGTGTTTTATATCTATTTAAAAGGAAAAAAAGGCACAAGTGTATAATCCAAACCACTAGAAAGCAGCTAACTCTATAACCTTTCCTCTCCCTTTATGTAGTTGTAATCTCTGTGTATACAACAGTCTGTGTGCTTTTCAAAAATCAATAAACATTTATTAAGCACCTATTAAGTGCCAAGCATTGTACTAAGCAGTGGAGACATACAGAATAATAAAAAGATGAGAGGTCCCTTGCTTTCAAGGAGCTGATCTTGTAGTGCTAGAGGAAGCTGAAAATTGGGAGAGAGGGAAATGGTGCTGGTGTTGAGGTTTAAATGTTAAGGGTGCTGAGACCCCAAAATCATAGCACACAGGTCCTGCCTGAATGAATTCGACCCAAGCCTTCTTTCAGCCAAAGACAAGATTTATTAAAGATGAACCATACAGGCCAGACTCTTAAGGAATGTGAACATTTGTGACGCTTATAAGGAGAAGCAGGCATGAGGAAGTCTCAGCCCCTAAATGGTGGCCAGGATGGATCTTATATACAGGAACACTATGGGAGGGATCTGGGAGTGGTCAGGTAGTTTTGGGGTGACTGGGGGGCTGGGAGAGGGGGCATCTTGATGGGAGTGGCCAGTACTGGAGGAAGAGTATAGGAATCTTGAAGCTGGGGTGACTGGGGGTGGGTCCTGGGAGAATCCCCATGGGAGTGTCTGGGAGGTTGAGTGGGGTCTGGATAAGATCATGGATGGGAAATGTAACCAGGTCTATTAGGCCAGTAATAGATGATAGAAAGCTAGGCTTAAATTAGGGTAACAAAGAACTGGGAGATAGGACCTCGGCAATAAGGAAGAGCCAGTTGATCAGAATAATAAGAATAACTTCAGGGGACTGTTAGACTTCCTTGACCAGGTAAAGGTTCAAACAGAGTTCAAGGGTTTTCTGGGGCCGTAGACAAGTGGCACCCAAATGCTTTTTGGGGTGACGGGCAAAGGTCTCAGCTTGGGCCCTTACCCCATCAGTGGTGGTGGTGGTGGTGGGGCTTTGAGGAAGTACCCAATCCTAGGGCATGATGGAGAACTTAAAAGCCAGGCAGCTGATAGGAAATGGGGTGAAGATTGTGCTGGGCCCCTGTATAAATGGAGGCCCAGGAGCCCAAGGTCCTGGGTCCAATTAGAGGGCCAGAGGGGACTGAGAAGGTAGTACCAAGGCTGATTCAGTCTGGCAGCATAATGAAATTTTCTAATGAGGAGTTTTCTGGGGCAGGAAGGCATGACGGAGTAGTACATAGGTTGTGTCCAATTCTCCATGGCCCCATATGGGGTTTTCTTGGCAGGGGTACCAGACTGGTTTGCCTTTTCCCTCTCTAGTGGATTAAGGCAAACAAGGTTAAGTGACTTGCCTAGGATCACACAGTGTCTGAGACTAGATTTGAGCTCAGGTCTTCCTGACTTCAGGCCCAGCCACTCTATCCATTAAGCCATAAGCTACCTCCTAAAGATGCCTTTACTAACTGATAACTGACAGGCTCACCCAAAGACAGCTGAGATCCAAGCAGCAGGCCTTTTTTTTTTCTGCACAGAGTAAATGATTAATACATATGGGTTGAAGAAGCTAGGGGAGAATTTCGCGCTGTTGAGACCTAGAATAAAGGAAGTAGTAGCTTGTGGAGGAGACACCAAAGTCATGTTAGTGGCTGGAGACGGGGAGACCCCCCCCCCCAATATAATTTGTGGCTTACTTTCTGAGATTCAAATGTGATTAGTAAATGTGATTGTTGTGGGAGAGATAACTGGAATTTAATATTATAGTGTGCTTGTTGATTGATTTTAGGTTCCAGGGTTATGTTCTAGGATTTAGGTCTGAGGATTGAAAAGCCAAATGGAGGATTTGCTACTGGAGGCATCCATAAAGGCTTCATGCTGCAAAGTCTAGAACAGGGGGTTCTAAGCCTGGCATCATTTTCATGAGGTCTATGAATTTAGATGGGGAAAAGTACATCTTTTTCCATTCATTAACCTGTAGCTGAAATTTAAATTATTTTAGAGCATGATTTTGAGAGGGGGTCCATAGGCTACTAGACTGACTACCATAGTGGTCTGTGACAGAAAAAAAAGGTGAGGGGCCACTGGTCTAGAATAACTTGAGGGATACGGTAAGTATTCACTAAAATTTGACTTTAAAAAAAATTCTAAATCCTCAGTGCTTTGAAAGCCCATTCCCTCTATGTCTTATCTCCTTTCATCCGTAGTGCATGTGAGGGATGGTCCCTGCGTAAGCACAAATACGTTTCCTGTTTCAGGAATCAGTGACGTTTAAGGATGTGGCTGTGGACTTCACCTGGGAGGAGTGGAAGCAGCTAACGCCAGCTCAGAGGCACCTTTATCGGGATGTGATGCTGGAGAACTATCGGAACCTGGTGTCCCTGGGTAACGGCAGCTTTCTCCCGCGACTCAGAATCTGCCCATTGCTAAGTCTTTGCATTCTCGTTTGCCAAAGGGGGCCCAGTCCTTATCTAAAGTCCTTATCTCAATAAGTTAGTCAAGAAGCATTTATTTTTTGATTGATCTTGTGAGCCAGGCCCAATGCTAAGAGCTGGGTATACAGAGAGAGGCAAAAACAAATTCCCTTGCCTGCAGGGAGCTTGCTTTCTAATGAAGGAGCCAATATGCTAACAACTATGTATGCATAAGTGAGATAGATGAGAAAGAGACAGAGAGAGACAGAGAGAGAGAGATCAATTTAGATAGATAGGTATCTATCTAATATTTAGATAGATATCTATAGATAGATAGATAGGTAGATCTAAATTGATCTCTAGATAGATAGAGAGATAGATAAAGGATAGATAGGATATACCTAGATCTATATGTCTCTTGCTATCTATCTTATCTATCTATCTATCTATACACATATGTATGTATGTACGTGTGTATGTATTTTGTTCAGTCATTCAGTTGTGTCCAACTCTTAGTGACCCCGTAAACCATAGGACACCTATACTGTCCATAGAATTTTCTTGACAAAGACACTGGAGTGGTTTGCCATTTCCTCTTCCAGTAGATTAAGGCAAGCAGAGGCTAAGTGACTTGCCCAGGGTCACACAGCTAATAAGTTGTCTGAAGCCAGATTTGAACTCAGGTCTTCCTGACTCAAGGCTCGGTGCTCTATCCACTAAGCCACTACCCAGCTGATGTCTTTGTATGTATGTTCAGAATAATGCCTGTTGCCCACCTTGATAATGGTAGGAAATACTGAATTTTAGTTAGAGGTTCATGAAAATAAAGGTGTATTTTTTTCCCATCCAACCTCATGAATCCCCTGAATCTATCCACAGACCCCTTGGTGATGGGGAGGGGATGGGGTGGTCTGTGGACCCCCAACTCAGAAGTTTTGCTTTGGGCAGAGAGAAGGCATTTGTGCCCCCTCTTTTGGGGTGAAAGATCCTTGTCATGTAAAGCTGTTGGAGCCAATGAGTCTTTGTGAAGCTCCAGCTGGATGCCAGGCACTGTGCCAAGTACTGAAGATACAAAGAGAGTTCAACAACAGTCCCTGCTCTTGAGATGCCCACAATCTAAAAGGAGAGATCACATGTAAATACCATGTACCAACATGATACATTTGGGATAAACTGGAAATAATCTTGGAGGTAAAGCCCTTGGCTCGTGAAGGCTCGGGGAAGGCTTCTTGTTCAAGGCGGGACTTTTGTGCCAGTCCAAATCATAGGGCAACTCCCCTACGGACATGAAAAGCTCCCTTCCTCTAAGCAAGGAGTGGCTCACATCTTGTTCTGAGCCCAAATCAGCTCCATGGCTCATACGGTTTCAGAATATGGTGGAGAACATCCTTCTGAGGTCCTTTGTGTCACTCTCTTGGCCTTCCAAGTATGCCTTCCTTTGCTTGAGGAAAAAAAAAAATGATTGGACTGGATATCCTGGGGGCATCTTAAATTTAACACATCTATACTTGAGGTCATTATCTTTCTTTGAGAGCCTTCCCCTCTTCTTGACTTCCTAATTGCTATTGAAGGAGCCATCGTTCTCCCAGCCGCACAGGCTTCCATCGTGGGTGTCATCCTAGACTCCTCCCCCTCATTTCTTCGTATCCAAATCTGTGGCCAAGTCCTATTGATTAGGCCTTGTATACCCCCTTCCTGCTCTGACGCTGACACCGCTTTGCTGCAGGCTCTCATCGTCTCTAGCACGGGCAACTCCAGTAGCCTAATGGTTGGTCTGCCTTCCTCAAGTCTCTCTCCATCCCAGTCTGCCCTCCACTCAGTTGTCAAATCGATCTTAACACATGTCTGACCACATCATCCCCCCATTCAATAAAGTCCAATGGCTTCCTATCACCTCTAGTATTAAACACAAAATCCTCTGTTTGGGGTTCAACTCCCTTTATACCTTCCCCCCTCCTGTTTTTCCAGTCTTCTTCCCTTTCCTCCCTCCCTCTCTTGCTCTCTGGTCCAGCACACTGGACTCTCTGTGGTTTCTCCCATAAGACACGCCATTTCCCAGCTCTGTGTACTTTGCCTGGCTTCCCCCCATGTCTTCAGTCCTTTCCTTCTTTATCTTCATCTCCTGGTTTCCTTTGAGTCCCAGCTAAAATCCCATCTTCTACAGGAAGCCTTTCCAGATCCTTCTTATTACCAGTGCCTTCCCTCTGAGGTTAGCCCCAATTTATCTTGTTCATAACTTGTTTGTATAGAGTTGTTTGCATACCCCCAGTAGACTCTGAGCTCCTTGAGGATAGGGACATCTCTTGCCTTCCTTTGTCTCACCAGTGCTCAGCGTGTTGCCCGGCACATATAGGTATTTAATAAATATTTGTTAATTGACTGATTTTCTTAGCACTTTCCCATTTCTTTCCCGTGAGCAGGACTTCCAGTTTTTCAACCAGATCTGATCTCCCGGTTGGAGAGAGGAGAAGTCCCATGGATACCAGTGGGAGAAGTCTTGAGAGGCTCTTGCCCAGGTGAGTGAAAAACAGACAGATCTAAATGAGCTCAACCAGACCAGGAGTTTGGGCTTTAAAATGCCAGTTAAAACACTGTCTTCCAAGTCCCTGAGGCCTGTGGGGAAGGTTGGAAACTGTCACATTTGCACTCTCATGGAGCGTCATTGTTCACTTTTTTAGTAACTCTCCTATGTTTCCTTCCAGTCTCAGAGAAAAAAGTGTGTGTTCTTTTCTAATATTAAACCCTTCTCTCCATACTCTGAATTCCATCCTTTTTTGCCTCCTCCCATAACTATTTCCTTCTCTCCATCCTTCTCTGAATAGTCTCTCCCTATTCACAGACGTCTTTCTTTCAGCTTTCGCATATGCTTGTCTGACATATATTTGTAAAAAAACAAAGCACCTTTGCTACCTTCTATTTTGAGATATTTCTCTGACTCGAAATTCCAGACTGCACAAACGTGACATCCATGCCCAGTGTCTCCAATTTCCTTAAATCTCTTTTCCTTCTTAAAGTACAATACTGCAGGTTGACTCCTTTCTGCTTGCACCATGCCATAGAGAATGCTCCATAAAGTCATCACTACCTTTAGAATTCTAGGAAGGACAAAGAATCACACATTTTAAGTGGGAAAGGACCTTAGGGTTTTTCTTGTACAGGAAACCCCCAAAGTAGTCACCTGGCCTCCAGGGAGAAGGAGCCCTCTCCCTCTCAAGGCAGCCCATTGCACTTTGCATAGCTCCAGTTCATAGAATATTTTTCCTGGCGTCGAGCCTAAAGCATCCTCTTGGCAGCTTCCTCTCACTGCTTCTGGGGTCAAAGAGAAGCATTCTGACCCATCAGGACATGAGTGCCTTTCAAAGTCCAGGTTGGCCCTATCTGTGCATTCACCTGATCTACTGCTCCAGTAACTGGGGAAAGAAAAGGAAATGGAGCTAGTGTTCCTCAGTCTGTTCTGTATGAAGCGATGTTGGTTCTTTGTGGTTACTGCTTCCCGTTCTCCCAGCAGCGACCCTCTTTCTTCTTGAATTCTCCTTTCTTCACTAGTATCGGTAAAAACCACCCTTTTTGTTATCGCTAGCTTTCTTTGCTAGCCTCATTTCATCCCAACGCTTGGCACTTCTGACATTCTAACAGGACTGAGTCATCCTATTTTGGCCATTCTGTGGCCTGCCCTTACTTCCACTTTTTTGTGTATGTGTTAAAAATCTAAGTTGGTCAGTGAATTCTTTTTGTATTCCTATGAATAGTTATGATGATACTTAACATTATTTTACTGTTGGGTCCTGTTGAGCGTATGGTCAACTAAAACCTCAGGTTTTTTTCAACATGGCCTATTGTTAAATTGTTTCCTTTATCCTATATTTGTTCAATTGATTATTTGAAGAAATATTTTTTATTGTTTGTTTTTTTGTTTTTTGGCGAGGCAGTTGGGGTTAAGTGACTTGCCCAGGGTCACACAGCTAGTAAGTGTCAAGTGTCTGGTCTGAGGCTGGATTTGAACTCAGGTCCTCCTGATTCCAGGGCCGGTGCTCTATTTATTGCACCACCTAGCTGCCCCTGAACAAATAGTTAAGACATTGCATTTCTCTGATGGTTTTACCTTATTTATTTTGGGTTTCAATAGAGTAGATTGAAATACATATACAGTGTGTGTGTGTGTGTGTGTGTGTGTGTGTGTACATATACATATATATGGAGAGAGAAAGAGAGAGAGAGAGAGGACACATTTTTTTTTTAATCTTGCACCATGCCATAGAGAATCTTGACCCAATCATTCAGTGGATTTCCTTTCCCATGCTGTTTAACGTTATCTGCAAAATTGTTATGGGTTCTATATTTTTATCTAAATTGTCTGAAAATGGAGAACCCGAATAGGATCAAGCCTGAAGTCCTGGGGCATGACACTTAAGAATTCCCTCCAGGTTCATGTAAATCTCTTGGTCATAACTATCAGTCAACAAGCTTCAGTTCTTTGTAGCTATCCTATCATCCAGCCTGTATTTCTCTGTCTTGTGCACAAAAATTTCTTGATAGAGATTGTGAATAGGCTTGTTGTGAGGGAAATGATGATTTCTCTTTTGTATTTAATAACTAATTATTGAATTAGGACCAAGGTTTTTCCCCCTTTTTTACTTCCTCATCCAGAAATCAACCAGCGTTGGAAATCTTTCTCAAAGACTTACCCAGGATATAGATCGAATCAAAGATAAAAGAAGTTCTAAGTTCAGGCTAATGGGTAGATTCCTGCTCATTGTGTTTACTCAGACAGGTCTGGGAAAATATTGGTTCTACTTTTAGTCAGACAAGTGATATGGAAATTGATACGTCTCTTTGACCAAGACTTGGGTGATCCAAATCACTACCCCCCACGACCCTCATAGTATATATAACCAGCCTCTTATTATAATATTCATTCTCTATTATTACTTACTAACCAGTTAGAGTTGATTTTCACCCTCAGGTGCACCCCTTTTTCAAAAGGCTTTATAAATATCAAAGGTTCAATAGGCTCTCTCTCTTTGCCATTGAGGGGACAATGAGCCTGCTTGGTTGACTGCTTTCTAGACACAGTCAATAAGATTGATTTTAATTTACCAGCAACTGTGTCTCTATGAAATTTTCAGTCATCACAGTTGAAATATGTGTGTCTATAATGTTTTCTGATGAACCTATCATTAGGTCCTATAAGAAATAGAATTTGTGGTACATGATTTTTTCGTGTTGAACTCATTTTGTGTCTGATCAAGCTAAGGTTTCTTTTCTAAGTGTGAGTAAAAGAATTTGCTTGACAAGTAAATGCTAGACTTTTGCTGGAGACTGACATCAGGGTTTATCAGTCAGATTTCAGATTTAGCCAGTTTCCCCTTAAGGAAGATATTTACCTTTGCCCTAAGGTTAGGTACAATAATTCCGAGTTGGAGAATGATTAGGAATATGAAATAAAGTAAGAGTGATAGGACAAGCAAGAAAGATAATTGAGGCACATGATAATTATTCATTTTGTCCTGAAGCTGTCAATTCATTTGGAGAAGCTAGATGCTCTGTTACTATCTCTTCACCTCTCTTGGGTGTTATATGCCTTAACAATGCTCTTCACTTTTCATGTTAATGATTTATCTCCTTCATGGAGAAGATATTCTTTCTCCCTGCAGGGGATATTGACATGACTTCATTTCTTTCAGATTCCCTTATTCAGGAAACAACATGTAAAATCATGGAGACTGCCCTAAAGCACAACCTTTTTGTGGAAGAGTCATCCAAGGGAAGATTCACAAACCATGACCCATGGGATTCCAAGTTGGAAGAAAATTGGGAATGTCATGTTGGGTGGGGGTGGCAAAAAGACAGCCAGAAGGAAAAATACAGGCAAATGACAGTCATTCAGGAAGGTCAGATGTTCTCAAGAAGTTTGAGTCTGTGGTCGGTTTCTTTTGCACAACAGATAGATGCTACCAGGAAAACTCTCCATAGACATGGTACACATGGTGAGTGCTTCAGACCGTTTTCAGACTTGGTGAAAAGTAATGGAATCTCCTCAGGTAAAAAACCTTATAAGTATAATAAAGGCAAGAAGATCTCTTTTGATTCAGGCCTTATTCAGTATCATAGAAGACATAATGGACAGACACAATATGAGTATAATGAATGTGAAAAGACCTTCAGCCATAGGGGATATCTTGATCAATGTAAGAGGATTCATACAGGAGAGAAACCTTTTAAATGTAATAAATGTGGGAAAGCCTTTAGCAGCAGTTCATCACTCAGGAAGCATCAGAGAATTCACACTGGAGAGAAACCATATGAGTGTAATGAATGTGGGAAAGCCTTCATCAGCAACTCATCCCTTAAGAAACATCAGAGAATTCACACTGGAGAGAAACCATATGAATGTATTGAATGTGGAAAAGCTTTCAGGCATGGGGGGTATCTTGCTGAACATAAGAGGATTCATACAGGAGATAAACCCTTTGGATGTAATGTTTGTGAGAAAGCCTTTAGCAACAGCTCCTCGCTAAGGAAGCATCAGAGAATTCATACTGGAGAGAAACCATATGAGTGTAATGAATGTGGGAAGGCCTTTAGCAGCAGCTCATCCTTTAAGAAACATTGGAGACTTCATTCTGGAGAAAAACAGTATGAGTGTAACGAATGTGAGAAAGCCTTCAGCAACAGTTCGTCTCTTATGAAGCATCAGAGAATTCACACTGGAGAGAAACCTTTTGTGTGCAATGAGTGTGAAAAAGCCTTCATACAGAGGGGAAACCTGACTGAACATCAGAGAGTTCACACTGGAGAGAAACCCTTTAAATGTAATGAATGCGGGAAAGCCTTTAGCCAAAGAGGAAACCTCACTGAACATAAGAGAATTCACACAGGAGAGAAACCCTTTAAATGTAACGAATGTGGGAAAGCCTTTGGCAACAACTCATGCCTTATGAAACACCAGAGAATTCATACTGGAGAGAGGCCATATGAATGTAAGGAATGTGGGAAAGCTTTCAACAACAGCTCATCCCTTATGAAGCATTGGAGGATTCACACTGGAGAGAAACCATACACATGTAAAGAATGTGGGAAAGCCTTCACTAATAGCTCATCTCTTCTAAGACATCAGAGAATTCACACTGGAGAGAAACCATATGAATGTACTGAATGTAGGAAAGCATTCACCAATAGTTCATCCCTTATGAAGCATCAAAAGATTCATACTGGGGAGAAACCCTTTGAATGTAATGAGTGTGGGAAAGCCTTCAGCCACAAAGGGTATCTTACTGAACACAAGATAATCCATACAGGAGAGAAACCCTTTGAATGTAATGAATGTGGGAAAGCCTTCAACAAAAACTCATCCCTTAGGAAACATCATAGAATTCATACTGAAGAGAAACCCTTTGAATGTAATAAATGTGGGAAAACCTTCAGCAAAAATTCATCACTTAAGAAACATCAGAGAATACATACAGGAGAGAAAACCCTTCAGTGTATTTAATGTAGAAAAGATTTCAGTCAGAAGGAACATTTCACTCAACATCAGGGAATTCATAAGAGAGAAAAACCCTATAGGTGTAATTAGTGGGAATTAGTAGGAAAACCTTTCAGATCTTGGCCATTCCTTATCACACTTTCTGGATGTTATGTCAAAAATTAATTATGGATATAAAATAATACGGGAGAAGTTCCATTTAGACCTGTCATGTTAAATGCTGGAAAGTCAAGATGTTGGAGTGTCATCTGAGATATCGTTGCTTGCTAAATTTTTTTTTTTTAGATAAAATGACCCTAACTTCTTTTATAGCCCTCTTTGCTATAATGTACATTCCTTGGAGAGTTGTATTAGGCAGTATAGTATTATAAGATCTGAGAATTTAGATTTCAAAAAAACCCTATTTTTAGTAACTCACTATGATTTTTTAAAACAAAATAGTTTAATTTTATTGAATTTTTAGAGCAGAGGTATAAAAGATGGAGCACTGAATGAAGATTACTAGAAGGCAACTAGCACAATGGGTAGGGTACTGGGCCTGCAGTCAGGAAGTCCTGTGTTCAAATCCAGCACCAGAAACTTCCTAGCCGTGTGACCCTGGGCAAGTCACTTAATCTCTCTCTGCCTCAGTTTCCTCATCTGCAAAATGGGGATAATAAATAGCATCTAACTCAGGGTGTTTATGAGGATAAAATGGGATATTTGGAAAGTATTTCTCAAGCCTTAAAGCACTGTATAAATGCTAGCTATTGTTGTTCTTTTTTAAGGCAGGGTGATGTTGTCAATGGAGACTAATGGAAAGCTCCTCCATGATGTAAATTAACGCTAACTGGGCCTGGGTAGGTCTATTCTCTACCCATGACCTTTCAGGGTTGGGAGAAACTTGGAGTTAGTTAGGTCAGAAAGTAACCTTAAAAAAATCATCCAGTCAAACAGCTAACCAGGAGACAAGTTGGGAGGTTAAATGAGGATTAGATTAGGAGTATTTTTCTTCCTGATGCAAGCAAAGTTGAAGAATTTTGGGTAAAACCAGCCTCAGAAATTATGATGATCTGTGTGTCTTAAGTACAGCTGACTCAGTAAATGAGATCTGGATGATGGGAGGTGTTGTGATAGCCCTGGTGCTACAACAGATCCAGATCACCTTCAAGAGTTCCTCAACCTTCTCAAAAGGTTTATTAAATATTTGTCCTTCACCACACCCATTTTCTTTTTTATATAATATTTTATTTTTCCTCCTATTATGTTAAAACAATTTTTAACATTTTTTAAAGTTTTGAGTTCCAAATTTTATCCTTCTCTCCCCTTTTCCCTCCTCTTCCCCCTTGCTGAAATGATAAGCAATCCTGTAAAGGTTATACATGTGCAATCACGTAAAACATTACTACATTCATTTTGTACAAGAAGACTTGAATAAAAAAAGAAGGAAAGTGAAAAACAGTATGCTTCAGTCTGTAATCAGACAACATTAGTTCTTCCTCTAAAGGCAAATAACACGTTTCATCATGAGTCCTTTGGGATTGTCTTAGATCATTGTATTGCTGAGAATAGCTAAGTCATTCACAGTTCTTCATCGAATTTCATCGAACATCATTGCTATTACTGTGTATAATGTTCTTCTGGTTCTGCTCTCTTCAGTTTGCATCAGTTCATGTAAGTCTTTCCAGGTTTTTCTGAAATCATCCTGCTTGTCATTTCTTATAGCACAATAATATTCCATCACAACCATGTGCCATTGTTCAGCCATTCCTCAATTGATGGGTATCACCTTGGTTTCTAGTCCTTAGCCACTACAAAAAAAGCTGCTAGAAATATTTTTGTACAAATAGGTTCTCCTCCCTTCCCCCCCCTTTAAAAAATCTCTTTGGGATATAGACCTAGCAGTGGTATTGCCATGTCAAATGCTATGCAGTTTTATAGCCCTTTGGATATAGCTCCCAGTTGCTCTTCAGAGTGGTTGGATCAGTTCACAACTCCACCAGCAGTGCTTTGGTGTCCCAGTTTTTCCATATCCCCTCCAATATTTATCATTTTCCTTTATTGTCATATCAGCCAATCTGATAGGTATGAGGTGGTACCTCAGAGTTGTTTTAATTTACATTTCTCTAATCATTAGTGATTTAGAGCATTTTTTCCATTAGTATAGATAGCTTTGATTGTCTGAAAACTATGTGTTCATATCCTTTGACCACTTACTGGTTGGGAAATGATTTGTATTCTTATAAATTTGACTTAAGTTCTCTACATATTTGAGAAATGAGGCCTTTATCAGAGACATTTTATTGAATTTTTTTTACTACAGTTTTCTGCTTTCCTTTTAGTACTGGTGGCATCCCCACATCCATTTTTTTTCATTCTTAATAGTATTTAATTTTTCAAATTACATGTAAAGACAATTTTCAACATACACTTTTTGAAAGATTTTGAGTTCCAAATTGTTCTCCCTCCCTCTCTCCTCTCTCCTTCCTCAAGACAGCAAGCAATCTGAGATAGGTTATACATGTGCAATAATGGAAAACATATTTCCACATTAGTCATGTTATGAAAGAGGAAACAGAGCAAATGGAAAAAATTGGAAAAAACCAAAGAAATGAAAATAGTCTGCTTCGATCTGCATTCAGACTTTATAGTTCTTTCTCTGGAGGTGGATAGCATTTTCCATCATGAGTCTTTGGGAATTGTCTTGGATCATTGTATTGCTGAGAAGAGCTAAGTCAATCACGGTTGATCATCACACAGTGTTACTGTTACTGTATACAGTGTTCTCCTGGTTCTGCTCATTTCACTCAGTATCAGTTCAAGTAAGTCCTGAAATCCTTTTCTGAAAGCCAGCTACTCATCATTTTTTATAGCACAATAGTATTCTATTCCATTCATATACCACAACTTGTTCAGCCATTCCCCAATTGATGGGCATTCTCTCAATTTCCAATTCTTTGCCACCACAAAAAAAGCTGCTGTAAATATTTTTGTACATGTAGGCCCTTTTCCCTTTTTTATGATCTCTGTGGGATACAGACCTAGAAGTGGTATTGCTGGATCAAAGGGTATACACTGTTTGACTGCTCTTTGGACATAGTTCCAAATTGCTCTCCAGAATGGTTGGATCAGTTCACAGCTCCACCAACAATGGATGAGTGTTCCAGTTTTCCCACATCTTCTCTACCATTTATCATTTTTTTCTGTCATGTCAGCCAATCTGATAGGTGTGAGGGATACTTTCACATTTTCTAGAATGTTACAGAATGTTCTAGAGTGCTCCTCATGTGGACCATTGCTGTTGTATGGCATAGCCTAACATTCCTCTAAGGGTTGTTTTATATTTTCACAGCCACCCACCATCCCCAACACCTGCTTCTTAAGTCCCAACAGATATATAACAATATTGTATCTGTTTGCTAAAATATTCAACCTTATTTGCACCATTCCCATCTGCCAGCACCTTTGCAAACCAAGTACAAAATTCCAGCCACCACAAAACAGCCATGATGATTTAGTGCTCCAGCAAAAGACTGGTGGCCCATTTGTTTTATAGCATTGAGGAGGAAGGGAGTACTCTCCTCTCCTGTTTTCCTTAATTTATAGGCTAAGCATATACTTGGTAGGCTATCTCAATGGTAGCATAACTGCTGGATCCAATACCTTTGACTCGTTTCCAGATATAGATTTTCTTCCTGATCTTGGAAAAATACAAACTTGAACCTACAATGTCTGAGACCAAAGTGTTGTGGAAATGATGTTCTGCCCCCCATCAATGAGAGAGAATCTATTGCCTGCCTCCTGTAGCAACCCATTCCAGGCAATCCCTGTGATGTTATAAATGCCCTTCTTACTTTACCACAGGAGTGAGCTTTGTGAGATTTCAAGCCACAGACTCTGTAATCTCCAATTTCCATGAGGAGGTAGCAGGCTAGTATACAGTTCACAATTCGTAATGCACAGATAATGTTGAGGAAGAACATGCCCCCTTCCCACAGGAAAATATCTACCAAGAGTAAATTGTCTTTTCTCGAATTCTTGCTCATCTTTTAAATTCCAATTTAACTGCCACCTACTTCCAGGAGTCTTCCCTGGTCTTTCCTGTAAGTAACAACTTTCCTGTTAGACGTCAAATAGCATTTTGTTTTGAACTGGAATGAACTTACTACATCATACTTTGTGCTGTTGCTATCGGCTCATACAAGGACAAACTTGATCCTCTCCTAATGCCTAGCATGATTCTTTACATACAGGAGTAGCTAGATAAATGTTTGCTCTTATAAGGGCAAGACATTACTCTGACATGTGTCAGAGAGCCAGTGAAAGATCTTCCACAGGGGAATAATGTGTTCATGTTTATATAAAAGGAAGATTAAATAACAACCATGTGAAGGATCACAGAATCATGGAATTTTAAAGTTGAAAGGTATCACAATGGCTATCTAGCCCAACTTCTATCTAAAAAGAATCCCCACATTAATATTTGCCCACTGAACTGTCTCATTTGATCCTCACAAGAACCCTGGGACATTAGTGCTATTGTTATCTTCATTTCACAAATGGGGAGACTGAGGTAAACAGGTTAAGTGACTTGGCCAGGGTCACACAGATCAAAGTCTGGATTTGCACTCTGTTCTTCCTGACTCCAGGCCCAGAGCTCTATCTACTTTGTCATCTAACTGCAAGGAAGGGGTTAGGAAAGCAAGTTCACAAAGGAACCAAGAAACTCCAACTATGAGTCATTTCTATTTATTTTCAAGATTTTAAAAATTCTGCCCTTAAACACGTACAAACACAAAATTAGCATGTCCATGTGCATAGAACACAAACAGGATTGCATATGAAACAATTTCATACCATTTGATTTTGAGGATATTTCATACAATTATATATACTAGTGATATAAAATGGTTATAAAGATTATTCCTGCTTCTTACCATATTAGTAATATATGAACATGTATATGATCCATACATCACTTTCAAAACTTTCCTGCTTGTCTGCACTTCTGTATATTTTCTTCCATGCTTTTATAAAACTGCTTCAAGGGATCTCTGTTTAATTTTGACGTCACTATTGCTAGCTTCCTCTCTTTTCCCCAAATCCAACCCCCAAATTAAAAACATTAA